TCTATGTAGCTACCATTAATCAACAGTAATAAGACACCTATCATCTGGAATAGTTTAATTTCTTTGCATACTTTTACACTGAGGGAAGAAGTAACCATAATCTACATTATCCACTACCTCCAACGGAGCCTCTTACAATCACCAGGTAAATGCTATGCTGTTTCTTTATTTAGGTGTACTCATCGCTGGTTTCGAAGATGAAGAGCTGTGTCATCAGGAATTCGCCTTTAAAAGAAATAGCGGAAGGATCACTCTTCACATTTGTGCTTTTACGAAAAATTCCTCCTTCAGCTTTGGAACCAACTGATTTCAGTGGAAGGATGTTCGATGAGTCTCTTGATGAGCAAGAAAGAATCAAGGCATTTACTATTTCTATATATAATTAAATTAATAATTGTGAAAAGACCCGGAACATTTGCTTTGGATTGTGCACAATGAAGTGTTCCTATTTCCACTATCATTGTATATTTCACAGCAAACGTTAACTAAAAGGGTAAAAAGTTATTTGGTTGGTAAAGTAGACGTTCCTGTCGTAATTAAATTTACAAGGATTGTGTAAAACGCACTGTTTCACAGCTAGCAGTCCGCATGTAGGAAAATGTTTTTCAAATACCAACTAATGCAGATGTTTCCTTGGTTTTTACGATAAAGATTAAGAATGAGCATATGTATTCGTCTAGGGGAAAATTTGAGTGGCAGGAATCGCGCTGCTGCTGCACTAATCTGTGTTGAATATAGCCGGAATCATGTCCAGCGGCTTGGAAAATAACACGAGAAATACATGAAGTTCGCACGCACCTATCGCGCACGTACGTTCTTCGAACCATTTCTGAAATACGAAATATTTTGTTAGGGCGTGGAGGACGAGGATGGCAAGCGTCGGGGATTTAAAAGCGTGAGCGATGGACTATATTTGATGTGCGGGTGGGATATGCGAATTGAAGAGCTTCGCGTAGGTTGTAGATAACGCGTTATGGTTTGCACCCTTCAGTATAAACACCGAAGTTTGCACCCCGTCAGAGTGCTGTAATTAAGGGCACTCAAAGCGCCCCTCTCTTTATCCCTACTGCAGTCAGCGTCCCACGCCGGATTAAAAACTGCCCTACGCTTTTGGAATTTGTTATATCGGCATTTAGCCTTTTTTATTGCCTGCCTGCACTAAAGCACAATATGTGCACGTAATTTTCTAAAGGAGCTTGCATCTAACATTTTTCCTTGTATCTGCAACGAATCATTTTGTACAAACCTGTTTCGGTATGCTCACACAAATTCAAAGGGCATATAACGATACGCGACATTTCATTCATCAATAGTGGAACGACAAAATTTCTGAAAACCTTAAAGACGGAGTGGAAAAATTATATTCCAGTGTATGTGATGGAACGGTCAATTGTCTTTCAGTATAATTTCAGATATAACTAATTACGCAAATTTGACGATCTGCAATCTGTACCGAACGCAGCTCTATAGAAAGAATAAAATACAGGCTGTATCACGCAAACCATTACCTAAGAGTATTCAGGCTCCCATTAATAACTTAAATCTGAAAATTTGCACACTAGCATAGTTTTTCATGATCTATCCAAAAAAAATGATCGTTTCACTTACGATTTTACCGCATATACAGTGATATTCATTTAATAGTAGACATAGGGATTTACGTGTATTATTTTTCCATATGTCTACTTTTAAATGACTAAATCTCTTCTGAAGGGCGCCTAATTTTATGGTTCCATGCTTTGATATTAATTAATTTGAATGTCGATACTTTGGCTTCACAGAAAATAAATCTCTTACGCTCCTTAAACTGTTACCGGCACTAAACCAGTGGACAATATCAACTTTTTCTTCAGTTGAATACATCGCATACAAACGAGAAGTCAAAGCAACAATTTTCAAATTGATTATGGCAGCCAGATTTTTATTTGTTTTCTTAAGTTATTTTGATTGCATAAAACTAGACGCCCTTTACAAAAGATAGGGAAAAACAATACACGTAAATCCCTATGTCTACTTCTTAATAAATATCAATGTAGATAGCAACTTTTTTTAAAATAAAATACGCTGTTTTTAACACATTTTCGAAATGTACATGAAAATCTACGCAGTTTGATACCATACTTCCCTATACCCAGCATCAAGGGGTTCCAAGTTATTCAAGATTTTTGAAAATGTTTTGACGTTTTACTGTTTTTATTTTAGGCCCTGTATCTATGACTCTGTTGACTTGAATTTCAAAAAGTTTTCCAAAATTAACAATACTCGCTTGCTGCTACACGAGTATGATTTAAATTTTGATCGCCCTTCTACCGGGTAAATAAATAACACGTTAGATGTAGAAGCTACAAGCTAGTACTTTTTAGCGTAACACAACGAAGTTGCAGTCAATCTTATATGCCCAATTTTCCGTCGTCTGTCACTCTGTCGCCTGTCTGTTCCTTCGAGATTTCGGCACCTGGACCACCTAGAGACTTCGGGTTTTCGCTAATTGATATTTATATTTGAATGCATGCCTTCAAAATCATGTCGATTCAGCAAGATCTAATTATTCGTAGATATTTTGTTGAGGAACGAATGTAAAACGTTTGATTTTGATATTTTTGTTGAAAATTTATGTAAAAGCATACAATATAGACTCTAGAGTGTGGCCTTCTTTCCCACTGGACACCATTCCTTTACATCTTGTTTGCAATTTAGCCACCAGAATCGCTCCCATTAACCAGGGTTTTCGCCATTCCTAGATGTGCTCCCGATATACCATCGTGTATCTATCATAGTACTTCACACTTTCTGCCCTTCGGTATCACTAGTTGTACATTTGTGGTCGTGCCAGCATCGTTTTCTAAAACTCTCTTAAGAAGACCATTTTCTAACCGCAACTAGTCCCACTGAGCCTAAAACGCCTTTAAAACTGGACCATATCGAGATACCTCTTCCCAGGTTGGCATATTTTCTCTTCCATTTTCTAGTTTATCATCAGACGCAAATCAGGATCATTTTCTTGAACTGTCCGGAGGTCTAATAGTGGCCAGTTATCATCTACAAGTGCAGTGTGCCATGCGGGTTGTTCTTCATATTTGTGCTCTAGTTGTGAGTAGTGTCGACAATCCTCAGGACATGCAACGGCCTCAAACTGTGTCCAGTAGGTGGACTTAACTCGAACTTTTGTAGAGGTATCAACCTTTTCTCACGGTTCGGGGGCTTCTTTGCGGGACGATTGTGGAACAGCAAGTAGATCTTGTGTTTTCACAGACGACACATCAGTTTTTTCGCGTTCTTCAATGAATCGTCTTCGTAGTTCATCGATTTCGTTTTCTACCTATATGAATACCTTGTATCTCATCTTTGACATTTTGTATTTCTTCTTGAATCATACCTATACCTCTTATTTATTGCTTCTATTTTAGCTTCCATTGATTGCTGACCACCATCGATTTTTGCTTCTATTTTAGCTTCCATGGGCTGCTGACCGGATTTCATATCCGCTTGACCAGCTTCTATTTTAGCTTATACGGTTTATTGACGGGCTTTTGTTTCAGATTGGCCAGCTTTGAATTTAGCTTCCATTGATTGTTGGCCAGCTTCAAATCCTACTTTCATTTCTTGCATTAATTCTGATCTGGCCACTATTGCCATAAACGTTTACTAATTGTTCACCGCACCTGACACAAGTGCAACATAAATATAATTACGTGCTTTATTTATTTATCACTCACATATACACTATTTACAACAACGCGAACTATTTATTACTTCGGCGTCGAAATTGGGACTGAACTCACACACGCTTTATAGAAAAGTACGAAAGCTCTAGGAACGTTGGCATCAGATTTCACAGAACGAATGAGGAACTTTCTCGAGAATTCATGATTACCGCTGGTGACATTTGATTCATTAGTTTTTAAATATTATTTGGCGATATTTCTTCATAACCATACGACCAAAACGACTTTATTTATAAGTGAAAGTACATCTGAAGAAATTAAAACATTAAAAAACGAGCGCAAACATTATTGATGATGACTGTTTTGGTAAACAAACGTTTCCTAATTAGTTTTGCAGCTCGGTTCCATTAAGTCCATCTGCGTTATTCATGGGTCTTGATTCGCGAAAAGCCTTAATGCTCCACTTATTTTTAATTTGACTATTATAACTCAAAATGTTCATGTTATAACAACCACCTTTGTTATGCCGATAAACCCTGAACTCTTTACTCTTCCAGTCTTCTTATAGAGCATTAGAGCAAACGCGGATTTAGTGAATAGTGAACAGCAAATAACAAACGCACATTTAGTTTAATTATATGTTGAAAGCAGTCACAGTTTTCGTAAACATGGAAACTATAGCCCCCTATTCTGACCAAATATTATCAGGAAAAATGGTTTATCTTAGAGGGAATACACTCGCTATCAGAAAAATGAGATTGCTACAGGATTGATGGAATGTTGGCCGTTTTTACAAATCCAAATTTAAATTTTAAACGCCTAATATTTTAGCAGCACTCTTGAACAACACCCTTTCTTACCTACGTATTTTTATAGCACTTAATGTTACGTGGAATAAATCTACTTTGCTTTCAAAAACCTGATAAATTGTGTAACATTCCACGTGAAGACTGCATCGTATTTTACCCTTCGACGACCCTCAGAAAACGGATATTTGGCAATATTTACGTACGGTCATCCGTAAAATATCGCATTTGTACTAAAAAGAAAACCGTGTAAAACGTATAAAGTTTTCTATAGCGACTTGATGGTCACCTACAGAAAAAATCAACTACTGCACGAATTGATCGAGCATTATTCCACCACGCACACACAACATCCAAGCTATCAATCTACCATTATCCCGGACTATTGCTTGGAATAATTGAATGTCAGTGAACTTGAAACAAAGACATTACTTATGGGATATGCACACCCCACACCGACGACACGTGACCTATTGGATTACCCTTGATCCGTACACTCTCAAACGTTTCTTAATAATTCCCATTTTAGGCCACCCTCATTTTTTCAACCAACTTTCCTGCGGCTTGGACTTAGTCTCGATGGCTGGAGAATGGCTGACCGCTACGGCCAACACTAACATGTTTACGTACGAGATCGCTCCAGTTTTCATTTTAATGGAAAACGTAGTTATGACCCATATGAGGGAAATAATCGGCGAATGTTGGAGGAACGGCGATTCGATTTTAGCTCCAGGTAAGTTAAACTCTACGGTAGGAACGTCAGTCAGTAAGTAGAGAATTTGAAATTCAAATTCGGATTAATTAAATCTCTTACAGCTGACGCTTTTGGGTCGAGGGGGTTACAAGTGTAATCTGTTTCAGGTGGGTCCATATCGAACTTGTATGCTTTCCTTGCAGCGCGCCATAGAATGTACCCGAATTATAAAGAAAAGGGTATCGCTTCAATTAAAGGTCAATTAGTAATGTTCACTTCAGATCAGGTAATTTTGTAATGAAGACTTTCTAATAACTTCAATCGTGGTGATTTTAGAGTCACTATTCGATTAAATCTTGCGCTTCGGTATGTGGTTTGGGTACGGATAACTGTATAATGGTGCCGTCCGATATCCATGGACGATTAATACCGGCCGAATTGGAACGTTTGGTGTTAGAACGTAAAGCTTTGGGTCATATACCGTTCTTCGTTAGCGCCACGTCTGGCACAACTGTTTTGGGAGCGTTTGATCCAATTCCTGAGATTGCCGACATTTGCGAAAAGTACAATATGTGGCTTCACGTCGACGTACGTACGATACTTATCAAATTTTAAGTTTCTAATGGTGATTTTATTTCAGGCTGCGTGGGGAGGCGGTCTTCTGTTATCTAAGAAGTACAGACATCCACGACTAACTGGAGTTGAAAGGTGAATTAATTCTTAATAAATATTTGTCCACTTTTTAAGCCTTTTTTGTAACGATATAGTATGCAAAATTGGACCGATTTTGTATTACTCATTAGTACTTGTGTACTGTTTCAAAAATTAACACCTTGTTAACCACCCCCGCGAGTGGCATTTGAGTGTTGCTGTGAAGGTCTGACAAGTGGTTGATTATTACGGGCCCCCCTGAAAACGAAAGTTCACGTGTTTCGTGATTGTTTTTTATAGTATTCAGATCAACTGATTTATTCAGGGTGGATCTTTATAATTGGAATGCACAGTATCTAAAAATCAAGATCATTGTAAGAAAAGATTATAGATACAGTTTTCAGTATTCGATTCGTACTTTCTGCTCATTTTTTCATGACAGGCTCTTGAAAACTGTAAAGACCTCAAAAACAGCAACCCCAAACCCAGCGCTTGAAACCTAAGCTAAAGACTTTCAAGGCACTTTGAGATTATGGTCGACTCATAGATGTCTTAGGAGTCAGGACTCTGGAAACCTCTTAAAGCTATTAAATATTCTTACACACTAGCCTTGTAAGGTATTTAGAAGACTGTAAAGGTTTCTCGTGACTACATATATGTATGTAATTCGAGCTCTTAAAGAACGTTGAAAGAACTCGGAAGACTTAAAAGCTCTATAAGGCTTTTCAAGGTTCGTCTTTCAAACACTCTCAAAGACTAAATGTCTATTTAAGGTCTTAAAAGCATCACTTCATCATCATCACTTTTGCAAACTTTTGGACATTTTAAAAAAATCTCAACTATTCAAAGACCCTTTCAACTTTCAAAAGATTACCTAAGGTCTCTTAAACACTCTTTGAATCATAATTATTAAAAAATTTTAAAGGATCTTAAATGTTTTCAAGGACTTTTTAAGGTACTAAAAGCTAGCAAAGATTCTAGACAACCCTTGACGTCGCCCCTTGCACTTTTTTTAAGATTTTGATTACCGACTTTTTTAAAAGCGTATAAATACTAAAGTACTTACTAACAGTAAGCTAAAACGCTGTAGACACCATAGAAAACTCTTGTAGAGCAAACATTTGGGGACTAATGGAAGCCCTTAAAGACATTAAAAAACTTTTGGGGGCGTTTCACAATGTGTAAAGAATAAAAAATTCGAAAGTCTTAGAAAAGCGTAGAACAGATCTGTTAAAGACTAAAAGGCTCTAGACATTAGCCAATATTGGGCTGTATAGCTCGCTTCAATTGAATTCCAATAAACTTTTTTTAAAAAATGAATAAAATTGTAAAAATTATGACAAACCTTTTCGTTGTTGCACCAAGAATTTCCGCAGCATTTTTCTAAAATATTTTTGGTATCAAAGTTTGAAATTGTTATTTTTATGTGAAAAGGTCCCAAGATACCAAAATTCGTCGAGATTATAATTTTTTGCACTTTCATCTATAGGTGTGTCGTCATAGGCAAGAAATTTTTTCTATAATTTTTTAACATTGAATTTGGAGCATAGACCTAGCTCAAGCTAGGAGTCTAAACATGAAAAACCATATTAGTCCGAGAGCTGTACATTTTTGGGTAGGCATTTGAGACAAGCTGAAAACTTGTCCAATACTTTTCCGATAATGCCCATACACAAAATTGCAGACCTGGTGGAGGAGTAGCGCGGCTAAACCAACCCCTATACTTTTTAAAGATACGAATTTTTGCAAAAAATATCCTTGGCGGATTTCGAAATTACCTTTAAATATACTATTTAAAAAGCGAAAAAATCAATAAGCCAGTTTATTTAGTCGGGTCTTACACTTTGCCGGGCGGTTGCAAAGTTTGAAAAAATGTATATTAGGCGCTATAATTTTATCCTTCATGGTATTTTAATTAAACGTCTCGACAAAAGGAACTGTTTTCTACTAAATACCGCCCTTCCTTCTGCTCCCTTATCAAAAGACGGGGCTTTGGGAAACTGGTTTTATCCTTGACGGTACTCTAATGAAAGGTTTCAACGAAAGGAATTAATTCCTACCAACCATAGTCCTCCTCGACCCCTTATCGCGATCGGATATAATTCCTTATATACATCAAAAACAGATTGTCGGAGGAGGGTACTCACAAAGGGCGCTGCCAATTTAGTACTGCAGCTCTTTCAAATCTCAATTGGCATTCATGATTTATAGTTCTAAAACCCTTGTCGCAATAAAGAAAGAGATGCCATATCATGCTCATCCGCAAAGAATACACAAAAATACTGAATCCTTCTGCAACAGCTAATAAAACTAAAGAAACTTTCGAACATTGAAAAATGTGGGGGTTTTGTGCTTAAATAAAAAATAACGGATCTCAAATATACGTATGCACTTGTAAGGTATCACTAATTTTATTACGGTATCACACATACGAAGATCAGGTCAAGAAAAAAAATTTATCAAAAGAAGGTGGTTCCACTTGCACAGACAAATAAGTGTATTGATGAATTTTCCGAATAAGGCAAAATTTTAAAATTCCTAGATTGAGCTAAGAGGCTACTTCGATCACAGTTTTTGGGTTTTTTGTCAAACTTTCTTCCAGTGGCGTACGTAGAAATTTATTCTGGGGGGGGGATTAAACAAGTTCGTGGCACATACAGTCACCCAGTGCGTCAAGTCAACGAAAACTTTGAATAATAGGTATATTTATGGGTAAAAAACCAATTTCGACAAAAAATTCAAAGGGCTGTAACTTTTGATCTAGTAGTCCGATCTGGGAACTGTTTGAAATTATGGATTCTACAGGCCACATTCTATAAGAAGTTCTATAAGAACATATTTTCCGGTCGATCTGAGACAATTTTTTTTCTGGGCAAAAAAAAGGCAGTGTACCTTCCTTTTTTCCCAAAAATCGACTGCACCAAAATTTCTCGGGAAAAAACTTTTTCTTATTAATTTGGTGCGTAGAATCCAAAACGATTCGTACTTTTTCGATTAGACGTCTCAATCAAAAGTTATGGGCAAAAAAACCAATTTCGACAAAAAATTCAAAGGGCTGTAACTTTTGATCTAGTAGTCCGATCTTGGAACTGTTTGGAATTATGGATTCTACAGGCCACATTCTATAAGAAAATATTTTTTTCCGGTCGATCTGAGACAATTTTTTTTTCTGGGCAAAGAAAAGGCAGTTATTTACCTTCCTTTTTTACCAAAAATCGACTGCACCAAAATTTCTCGGGAAAAAACTTTTTCTTATTAATTTGGGTGCGTAGAATCCAAAACGATTCGTACTTAGACGTTAGACGATTAGACGTCTCCATCAAAAGTTATGGGCAAAAAAATTCCTGTTTTTAAAATTTAAAATTCTTATTTTCGTCATTTCGTGAAAGGCAGGACGCGGGTACCTTACCTCAGTAGCAATACTAAGTACCTGATACCTATTTGTTATTTTGGGTATAACAATGTAGCGAATTGCCGATCGATGCCGAATAGCCAAATCGTTGACTGCCAACACTGATCACTCACTGAATAGTGAATACTGAATACTACAGAATATTTAGATTTTAGTGACTTTAGACTTTAACCAAAACCAAAATTGCTCTCTATATATACCTATATATTATTGAATTTATTTTAAAGTGGGCGGAGCGGATAGCGGAGTATTACCTAAATACCTAATAGCTATCCCCTTCATCCCCCCCCCTCCGTAAATACGCCACTGCTTTCTTCAATTGTCGACTTTTTAGATCATTATAACATCTTTTAACGAATAAGGTTTTTTCCGTTTGTATGTACGTACGTACAACATTCATTATATTAGGCATACGAAAACGAAAAATAACGGCCCGGAGCAACTGCAACTTTTTTGTCACATAGCAACTTAAAATTTTTGTTAAGTTATTCAAAAGACCTTATTTTTCTGTGTAAAACCTACAAAAATTGTGGCAGGGTGTGAGAAAAAAATGTCAAAGTTAAAAATCTAACTATTTTTGTCGGTAAATAATTTCATTAAAATTTTGCGAATGTACATGAGGCATAAACGATGTAAGATTATCAAAAACCTATTTTTTAATATCTGAATTTTTAGCGCCGTGATACCATAATGTTCATTAAATTATTGTAAATACTTTCTTTTTCTGGGTACAATCTACAAAAATTAGGCTAGGTTTTATTACAAAAAAACGAAGAAACAGGTTTCAAAATTAAAAAAACTAAAACAAAGACGTGGAATATAGGATACTTTTGCTGCCAGTATTTTCGCCTAGAAAACATGATCAGTTTCAAAGGATGCTTTATGAGGATTAAAAAATACATGTCTACTCCCTTCATGTCAAAATTACGCCCCTTTAATCAAGTGAATTACAGGTATTGCAATAATCGAATTCTCGGCTCCACTATTATCAATTACTGTTGTCTTTCATTGCCTCTCACACAACAAGAGAGTGTGTTTTTAATTGAAAAGACTTTTCTACTTTAAATCATTTATATGGCCAAATTAAGACCCCCACAAATTAGTTTTCACGAAATATTGCACGTCAAAACCAAAAGCAATAAAAGACGTAACACAACACAATTAACAAAGTTCCAATCGTAAATCAAAATTTCAAAGTGCGCTCCCTCGTTATAGAGGTTCTGGATCGTTTGCTTAAGGTTGACCTCTCATGAGAAACTTCAAGTGATTAATGAAGACGCAATTAATTAATATGTTCAATCTTTAAAACGTACACATCATTAGAGCTCCTTTCGCATCCTCCACCTAATGCGATTTAAAGAGCAGAAGCTTGTCTTACAAGTTTTGAACTTCGAAGCGAGGGGGTTATCCGTGATTACAACGGGAAATTGACAGATGTTCGGCTAAAGCTCAATAAGAATTCGTAATTGTACTCTAAGGATTGCGAGGAGAATATAAGTTTTCAATATTTTAATAGTTTTTAAGTTAGTAAAGGGAGTGGTAAATCAATAACTCCCCCAATCCATAAACCTATAAAACCTCCGATAAGCTCTTAAGCTATACTCAATTTGCATTAGAGCTACTTATGGCTTGAAAAAACACTTTGACTCTGTCAATACCCTGAAAGTTTCAGGGGGTTACGAAATGCCAATTCAAATACGTATCCTCTCCGCATAGGAATTTTCATTATAGGTACAAGAATGTGTAATTACCCATTTCCATTTCAGTTCAGTAGCATTTAACTGTTTGGTATATTTTCGACGGTAGCAAAATAGAGCCAAATGCCCACTTCTATCTTATAATTTTTAGACTGTATACCTAAATTCGAATCTTGTGTAGATAAAGGAAGAACTTTAATTTTCAGGGATAGCTCTTCACGCCTCTTTGCTTATAATTACTTTCACGCTTTTAAACAAGTGTAGATAGTCCAACTTGACATAAATGTTTGTGGTGGACTATTTATTCATTTACATATAAAGAGAGCGTTTAGCCTTTTTTCAACGCTTGCGGTGCCAGTTTTGTGCTTTAAGTGCCATTTTATGATACCTTACACCTTACCCAAATTTTAAAAATTCGCATTGCGGCCGCGAAAAATAATTAGTTGACCGAGTTAGGAATGACTGCTTTCACTTTCACGTAAACATTATGCAGGTCAAATTAATAGGAGCAGTACCAAGTCGGCAGAAACTGGCTTTTTGAACCTGTATCACATGTCTTCGTAGCCGTGATCGTCTAGTGGTTAGGACCCTACGTTGTGGCCGTAGTAACCCAGGTTCGAATCCTGGTCACGGCACTTGGAGACTTTTTTTTCAATTTTATACTTTGTAATTAACTAAATAACTCTTTTCAGGGCCGATTCGGTAACATGGAACCCCCACAAGCTCATGTGTTCAGTGTTTCAGTGCTCTACGATACATTTCAAGGAGGATGTGAGTAGATATTTTTGATTAAAAAAATTTAAACATATTTGACCTTGCAGGGGCTATTAATGAGCTGTAATCAAATGTCAGCGGATTACTTATTCATGCAAGATAAGCTGTACGACGTTCGCTTCGACACTGGAGATAAAGTTATACAGTGCGGTCGGAAAAACGATATTTTCAAGTTATGGCTGCAATGGAGAGGCAAGGTTCGGATTTCATTTCATTGATAACGCACACTACACTCGTTGGTTATTTAAACTACATACAATCTGTAATGAAGCAATATTTTAGTTTTTGTACCATTACAAGTCAAATATTACCTAGTGTTCACATTCCCACAAAAGGGGTCTTAACTTGTGGATAAGTTGTTGACGATGCTTCGCGGATTCCAAAATCCAATTACGCTATGTACCTACTTGTTTGTCATCAATTCGTAGAAACCCTTGAGAATAAAAATTGAGTGACCTCTAAAACTGCTCTTGGACTCAGTGATCACTTTTTCCCCTGCTTTTTCCTTAATTTTCTACTGGCAAATTTGGTCAAACAATGCCCTAACAAAACATGGGTTCTACTTCACTCTTTGCTATATTAAACCCTTCCCGAGCCATTGTTTCACATATTCTAATAATACAGCATTATTGCTTTATTGATGGGACCTATACTAACATTTATAACCCCAAGAAGAATATTAACCATGGGTACTAAACCCAAAACTGCTTAGTTTATTATGTTCCCAATAATTATTGCTTGAAACTGACCGACTGGAGATCCTGGGACTAGGGAATGCAATACCGGGCTGCGGAATTAATCCCGCACATAAATGGAGCGGAATCCCGCGGGATTTGCGGGACTGAGGAATTTGTCGACCAAGGGGACGACTCTGTTTACTTTGTTAATGAAACGCATAACGGAGAAGTTATTTTTTAAATAATTGTTAAACTTTTTTCGTTAAAATGTACTATGATTTTTGAGGCAATTTAGAAGTTCACCTTTTTGTGCTTTATAGGTGAGGTTTTTTTGAGCTCTAAGTTAGGCTGAAAGTACTTTTTTGTTAAATATTGTAATAATTAGCGATTTATTTTAATACACAAGTTAACCGCACAGAGTTGCTTATTTGGCAATTTATTTAAAGTTTTGCGGGATCCCGCAAATACCGGGATCCCGCAGGATTAACATCTAACAATCCCGCAAATACCGGGATTGAGATTTTGCTGCGGGATTGCATTCCCTACCTGGGACATAACCTCGGTGACCCTTATGAAGTTTTTTTGTTGCATTTATTTAAGTTAGGAGGTGGAGGGATTGGTGGTTAATTTTTGTCCACTTTAACAAAAATTACTGTTTTACCGCAATCCATAAAAAAGTCCAGTCAATGAACAACATATTTTGGGGGTGGGGAATGCGTGAGCATGCACCTAAGCGATTCCTTCAGAAACCTGTTCAGAATGCTTCGGTAATGAACATACTAAAAGTTCTGACGCCTAGGTGGCAAGCCGAGGGTAGGGAGTGAGGGGAAAGGTACCATTTGAGTTTTCCGCTTGTATTTTGAAAACGGTTCATTATAGGAGAAAATGTTATATTAAATGAAAGTTCTCTACAACTTTTAGACGTCGGGCGCGGGTATCGACAAGGGGAATGTGGTAGTCCCCGACAAGGTTCTTGGTCGCCTTTCCTCCATTAACGATCTTATTGCTGAGGAGTCAGTATAACACAAAAACTGCTACCATACCTTTGTTAAGCCTATCACTTTCGCAACTCATCTAACTGAGATTCCCAGAGATACCCATGTCACAAATTATAGTAAAGATTTTTGCCTACTTGTAGAGACGCACCGATTGTTATAAAACATGTTTGTATGTCCATTCGTTACCGAGATATGGCGCTTCGAAAAATCGTCAATTTTCGAAATTCGCTAAAAAATGCAGAATTAGGTATACCAGGTATCTTCTGTTACACCATAATTATGATGAGGTGTTGTAATTATGGTTTCTAGTTACAATCACCAACGTCAAACCCCCTCCTTTTTTCTGCGCTGTCTTTGGTGGAAAACTTGCAAGCCACTCAGCATTGACGGCGACTAAATCAAATTGGACAACTGGCTGAAGCGATTTTCTATTTTTTTCCCCCCGTCTCCACGCATCCTCACCATTTCGATAATTTTATTAGCCATTTCATGTCACTTTGATCGGAACATTGAGTCTTTTCAAGGGCAACTTTGCCTGTTTACTTCAGAAATCATTAGTTCCTCCCCCAAAAAACATACGTGCAATCGAATTTCGCAACTTGTAAGAGCATATCCACGACGTAAAAGGCCAGGAATGAATATCTCATTGTTGTACCTTGTGTGGCAAACACTGTTCACTCTCACTGCACTCAACCTATGCCGGAACTCCAGGACTCCAACATTCTGGAAACTCCTCTGACTTTCACTACAGTTAGTTCACCCAATCAGAACAACTCGCGACCGACGAATTTCCCCCGTACAGAATCAGTAATGACTCGGGAAGACTTCCTTTCCGAGATGGCTAATCCAAAAAATCTTTTGACGTTCTGGTCTCGGGGCTGTGCTACACCGTATAAGAAAGAAACCACAATGGAAAACCTTAAACTGGAGAACTAGTAGTGGAATACATGGACAAACAGACGGACAAAGTGCGGAAAATACCGTTCATTTCCTTTTGGAAAATGGGCTAAAAACACCTACACCGTTTTTTGGAAGCGTCATATCTCGGTAATGTCAAAAATGTTGCAGCAGACGTTTACTTCATGAGATATTCTAAAAAGTATGAAATGTAGTAGTGATCCCCTAAATTCGATCGCCTTAATTATATAATATACACCCGACCTGAAGATGCACAACAAGATGACGCCTTTATTTGCTCAGGAGATTACCAAGATAGATTTTCACAAAACATCTCATTGATCTAAAAAAATTCCCCAGGTGAGGCTCGAACTCACAACCCCGGCATTGCTCACGACTACTGTCTTATAAGTACCGTGCGCTAACCAATTGCGCCACTGGGGAGATGAGATCACCGTTTTCCTAATGCGTTGATGAGTCTGGGGCATTTCACCCATTACCGCTATTAATAAAGCGAAAATTTTCACACTTAAAATGCATACGTTTTAAATACAAATTTATATTACTCAGGGCGACGAGGGATTTGAAAAGCACATGGACCAACTAATGGAGATGACCGAATATATGGTAAAACGCATAAAGGAGCAGCATGACAAGTTTTATTTAATTTTGGAACCCGAACTGACCAACGTTAGCTTTTGGTATATACCGACGCGTTTACGTAAAGTTCCGCATTCGGCCGCACGCGAGCATGATCTGGGCAAGGTAGCTTAGGATCTATTTAACTTGAGCTAATTATAAAGACAGAAACCGTTGCAGCTAACGCCGATTTTGAAAGGGAGAATGATGCAGGCAGGCACGTTAATGGTTGGCTACCAACCCGATGACCGAAGGCCTAACTTCTTTAGAAACATCATTTCATCCGCGGCAGTAACTAAAGAGGATGTAGATTTTCTACTAAACGAACTCGACCGTTTAGGACATAATTTGTAAATATCTAGGTGTGTCATTTAATTAATTCAATTCATTTAAATGTCAACGTATTAGTTAATGATAATTAATTTTTTTCTCGCAATTTGGTAGGGAAAGAAAGGATAGTGACATATCAAGGAATAGGTACTGAAATTTATGGAAAAATCCTCGCGTCCTCTCATCAAAATGTTTGTAATTAGAACCATGTGTATCAATCGAAACATATCATTAGAATAGTGACGTATAAATTCGAGAAAGAAATTAATTAATATTAATTCTCTTGTTAAAAATGTCCTCAGCTGTTGAAAAAATACAAAAAATATATAAGTGTAGTGAAATATATAAAAATAACTTTCAAAAAGAACTGTGTAGCTAACGCAATAATGGTGTATAGAATGCATATTTGTTTCCTATATTTAAGAATTCATCCTACCACAAAAAAAGGCAAATTCTCCTGGTCAGACACTGTAACTGCCATTAGTTTTTGTAGGTATACTTCCCGGAAAATTCTGTTTAATTACATGCTTTTGCGTAGTTGCAAAATTTGTATAATAATAAACATGTAAATGTCTAAATGGAGGTTCAGAAACAAATTATGTATTATAGGTGTAGTGTTTAAATGTGTACAAAATTTCTAAGACTGTTACAGTCCCTAAACAACAAAACAACATCGTCTTCCACATGAAGTATAAAACTAAATAAATTATTTATGACTGTTTGTTATGTACGGATAGAATTTATATATTATTACTTATGTCAATAGAATATTATAGAAAATTATATTTGAAATGTTACATAGTATTATATTAATGAATTTGTTGAAATTTAGACGCTTATTCAACGAATGAATGTAATTTTTGCGAACTGTAAAATTTATGTAAGTTATAAAGAAATATATGGATTCACATTCAAGCGAACTTTATTTGCTCTTGTCAATTATTACCTAATTTCTGTATTTCAGTGGCCCATTTTCAGCTGTCGGGACAAAATGAATATCGCAACTGTTACATAATCCCGCATCTCCTTTTCTATAAACGAAAGGGTGAACATATTTACAAAAGTAAAACAAAAACACCAATAAATCACAATAAATAAGTATTAAAACCTCGAGCGCGTTTCAACAGCAAGGCTGTCATCATCAGCGAACAACTTCCGGTGAAGATATTTAGTCAATTTGTCTCTAATTTAGATCGAATCATTTTGTTCTCAAAGATAATACTAGCTGCTAGTCCACAAGACAAGATTAACTCCTAGATTAACTCCTTTTCCGTTTGTAAACAAGAGCTTTTTGGCAGCTGTTTAAAAGCGCTTAAGCTAAGCAACTTTAGTACAGCATTCAATCACATCCTACGTAGGATTTATTGTATATACGTAGAATATTTATGGATAGTATGCCGAAAATGCCCGATGTAATGTGCAAGAGGAAGAGACGTTTGGCAGAGTTTAAATAATTGACAGTATATACGTTTTATATATCTTATGCATAAATACATTAGACAAGCAGATTTACCATGAATATAGTACTAATACGTAAAGATTTTCAATAGGCATGCCCTGGTGATAAAAAATATTTTAGAAATATGACGGCGGTAATTGTGTACAATTTTGCTCAAAACTTTTTTCGATCTCTTTTATGGTAAAGGAATTATCATCCGAGAGGCCTTAGAGGCTGTAGACCCTGTATAGTACGCAAAAAAATATCCGCCGGATATGGTTATAATATAATATGCGTTATTTTTGCATATGGAGTATGTAGCAATATCTGTACGCATTACTTGTATTAAAAACGTCTATATTAAACGGATAATATTGATATACAGTGTAGGTATATTCGTTTACTGAATACATTTAAACTTCGTATTCCTTATACCAATCTTTGTTACTAAACTATAACTAATTTTTACAAATAGGATAGCACAATCTTTTTAACTGTGATACAAATTTTCTGTTCTTATGCCTGTCAAGATTTATGGAATGGGACTCAAACACCCGACGTAATTTGATGATATAGAAATGAAAAATGTTTTAAAAGCCCACTCGTGCCACGTAACACAACTGTAGGTAAATGATGGGTAACGGGAAAATATAGAACATAGCAGCTATCAATCAGCGAAAACCCTCTAGGTGGCCCAAATCTCGATGGAACAGACAGACAGTCAGACAGACGATGGAGAATCTAGCACATAAGCGTTCAACTTTCAAATCAACTTCGAAAAAGTATTTTCTTGTTTCAAAATCATTTTTGAAACTCCTATATCTCCTATTCTCGACATCTCTCTCCTCGTAACTTTCCTTTTTTTTCTTAGTGCGCTCATTTTATTTCGTTGCATTTGGTACCCTAAGTATCGAACTTCTCTTACTTCCTCTATTCTTTCCTCTCTCCATTTCCTTTCTCTCTCCTTCTCAAATGTCATCATCTTCGATTTTCCGACTCCATTCCCAATACCTCTCCATTCATCCCATCATTTCCTTCGTCCGTTCTAAATCTGTGACCGTTATCACTGTTAGACGCTGCCTTTAAATTCATGAAAAACGCTATCGCTCTCCGCCCTTTTTTTTCCAGTTCTTTTTTCACGAATCTGTGTACTACATTACATACAGTCGATCGTTCTTTAATACTCTCCTTCATATTTTCCACTCCTCTGTACTCCCTACTATTTCTTTTTCTTGTTCCTCTAATCCCCCTTCTATACGACAGCAGAGTGTTTCTTGTCCAAACTCTATCTCCCTCTGCCTTTCTTTGCGTCTCATTTTTCGATCTTCTTGTCTAACCTTTTAGACTTTCAATCGGTTGGGGATTCGATTCTATCCTTCTTCTACCTTAAATTATTCTATTTCTTCCAGTATTTTTTCATTTACTACCTACCTATTGCGTAATCACCTGCCTCTTCCTCCCCAAGATGTGACTTGCCCGACCCTATCTCCCCCCATATTTCCGTTTAAAATTGTGTTCCTCTTTCTATCTCTACTCTTTATCCCCCCATTAACCCCCGTTCCTCTACTATCTTTTTAGTTTTATTTTCTATTTAATTCTTTTCTCCTCCACCTTCACTCCTACATACCGTATTCCTTCCTCCTCTGTTCTTCCCACCCCCATTCCCTTATCCCTTTGTTACTTCTGTTAATATACCTCCTTCTCTCTTCCCTTTATATTGTCTCTTTTCGGAAATTCGTTCTTCCATATGTACTGGGTATCCTGTTCTTTATTTTCTCCCAATTCTTTTCTTCTATCATCGCCACAACATCGTGTCCTCTTACAAAGTCACAGAATTGGCATCATTTTCATTATACTCTTCTCCATTTTTATTTAGTTTTTCTCCTTTCTTCTGTTGTTCGTTTCTGTGTCCTTACTCTCCCTCCAAACCCCGCCTTTTCCTCTCTCTTTCTTTTCCTCACTAGTTATGACGCGAATGTTATGCTGTGCTGTAATGGTTTTTGAGTGATTCAACCAAACAATACAATTTCATGGGATATTGTAAAAACTGTTTATACCTTCACCAGCTACAACCATGTGTTTACGGCTATAAATCGCTCAATACGAGCAATATCTTGCAGAACAAAAACCCCAGACAGTTTACCTTGTTTACCTACCCCGTCAAAAATCCTGCGTCTGTTAAATATCGATAAATCAATAGGAAACCACGAAGGAATGAACTGGTATCATAAGGTTTACTTTACAATAAAATAAACCAAGCTACAATTTTAACATTTTAACGTTCTGGTACAAAACTTCGTATAATTATCTCACAGAACAAACAACTCGCAAAGTTGTAAGCTTACTATAAAGAAATGGAACAAAATTGGCACAAAATTGTGTATGAAAAGATATTTCTCAGCGTTGAATGCATCCGTTATAGAAGTTAGTGCCTTTCTAGAAATATGATTGTATCGTGCGACAAACAATACACAGTTAGCACACACAATGAGACAAAAGGAGTTATTTTCTAAAAATTTGAAGAACTCAAAATCATTAAGAGCCTTGGAATTTTAATTTGTGGATTTTAATTTCGTCTAACGTCGAACATCCTTAATTATACAATCAATGTCGGCAGTGTATGTAGGTATGTAGTTTTTCAGATGTCTTGGAAATTGCATGCGTTCTTTCCGAGGTTCTTTCCTTCACAAAAAGGGAGATATGAGATAACATATCTATATGTATGTAAATAAATAATTACTTTCACCTGTGCTATTTTCAAAAGGGTTATTCAAAAGGTCTCACCTGTACATTCTTCGGTTTAAGCTATATTTTTAATGAGTGGAATTAAATTAAAACTCAAAATCCCCTGAACTATTAAGTCCTTTACCTTGTGTTTTTGTTTTAAGAAAGACAAAAACATTAGAAACGATATCAAAGACACATCTGTAAAAACAATAGCTTGATACCTATAATCATTCGCTTTTTTTAACTAAGTATAACCGTCTGCTATCCAAATTTTGGCCAACCGGTACAGCAAAGAGGAATTTTTGGATAATGACCACTACCAATTTTTAACATTTTTTCGTCCTGTTTGCATGTGTTAACTATATATGTACTATTTTCTTATGCCGCATTGTTCAACTGCATTAACACAAATAAATATTGATTGATTCAATACTAGAAATAACTTTGGGTAAACTGTTGAACATAAATTATGTACTACTCCATATGCAAAAGGTAAATGTTAATACCTAAATAAAACTTGTTCAAGAAAAACAACCTTGAGTTAAGTCCAGTTAAGTTTATCATTCCTGATAAACATGAAGTGTTTCGTTACGTACCCAAAATCTTGTCACTTCCCCATTGAAAATTTACCTTACGGTATATTTTCTACGCAGAATGATGTAAGTAGAGATCCTTTACGTGTATGTGAAAGTATTTGAGTGAAAGAATCAATGTCTTTATGCACGTGTCCTAAAATCGCATTATGGGTCACGGCCCGCATTCTCGCGACATCTATATTCGGATACCAAAAATTATATGCCTCTATTTACAGAAAATCCACAGAATTGGAGTCGCAATTGGAAATTTAATTTTGGATTTAAAGCAAATTTCGCACTTATTTGATGGACCCCACCTAAAAAACCATCAACATGTTTTCCAAGAGGTAAGTATAAGGGAAGTTTAAGGCAGTAATCACGGAGAAAATTCCAGGAAACTCTCAATTCTTTTATGGCACTCGAGCCTTCTGCTTGGAAGGAAGCGCGTGCGAAAATTCAAAGTTTACTTTCCGCTGATAACCCGACGTTGCAAGACAATGCTCAACTGCGCGAAAGGTACGAATTGCCGGTTATACTTTTAATTATTTTTCGCATTTTAGGGCCCTTGTCTTACAATCCGATGCTACTATGCACCTTCCAGCAAAAATAGGGGATTATACTGATTTTTATTCATCTCTACATCATGCCACGAATGTAGGTGTTATGTTTAGGGGAAAGGATAACTCTCTTATGCCCAATTGGTAACTATCAATTTTTCATGTAGATTTAATCACGGATTACTTTTAGGAAACACTTGCCCGTCGGTTATCACGGAAGAGCCAGCTCGGTTGTTGTTTCCGGGACTCCCATAACAAGACCACATGGCCAAACCGTGCCAGTAGATGGTAGGTAACCATAAACGTACATACGTCGAAAGTATAAAAATCATTAAATAGGCGCTCCTCCTGTTTTCGGCTCTTGCAAGTTGATGGACTTTGAATTGGAAATGGCGTTTTTTGTAGGAGGCCCACCGACCAAACTGGGAGAACCTATCAAAATCGAAACCGCCCAAAATCACATATTCGGATTTGTGCTGATGAACGACTGGAGCGGTTGGACTGCATGTTACTGTTATCAATATGATAGCTTTTGCTTTCAGCTCGCGACATTCAAAAATGGGAGTACATCCCCTTGGGGCCATTCACTGCCAAAAATTTGGGCACGACCATTTCTCCGTGGGTCGTAACGACACTCGCTTTGGAACCATTTATTGTCGATAATTTCCCGCAAGACCCGACGCCCCTTCCTTATCTGGTGCATAAGGATAAATTCAACTTCGACATTCAGCTTCAAGTGGACATCATTCGTAAGTCGCCCCCTTGCTTTAGACGACGCCTGATGGTTTGTTTCAGCTCAAAACAGTGCTATATCCACAACCGTCTGTAGATCAAACTATCGGTACTTGTACTGGACTGCCAAACAGCAACTGGTGCACCACACCGTTACGGGTTGCAATATGAACCCTGGCGATTTACTGGCTAGCGGGACAATTAGTGGAGAGGTTTCATTCAAAACAACGCGCACCACTTGCTTACTTATATTTTTAGGCTTCCGACTCCTTTGGGAGCTTACTAGAGCTGTGCTGGAGAGGCACAAAACCTTTGAATATGGCTGATGGAAGTCAAAGAAAGTTTCTGCAAGATGGCGACACGGTCACGATGAACGCTTTTTGTGAGGGTGACAACTTTACTGTTGGTTTCGGAGCTTGCGCTGGTACACTGTTACCGTGTAAAAATTATTAAAGTCAAGAACAATTTTTTCAATAAATAAATTTACCTAACCCGTTGATATATTTCTTTATATTATAAATGACGATAATGTATCTATTAGAGATATGAGATAGTTTGATATACCTACGTTTGATTAAATGGCACCCCAAGTCCTGTGGAGTGAACTACCTACTACTACTAGGTGCCTCCACAGGTGGCGGGTAGTCGGATAGTGGGACGACCTTGCAGATGACCGCACGGGACGCAAGTCCAACGGCGAATAGGTGCTCGTGGCTCGTAAAACAGCAGATGGTAGAACCATTGACTAATTAAATAATCCTTGACTCAACGGTAGAACCCAAATAAGGCAACGCGGACCATTTCATAAAGGGCTGGAACCTACCGGACACGCTCCTCCACCCGGCGAGCGGGAGGTGCCTACCAAGTGATCATCTTGAAATGGTAGAATAGTGACATAATAAGAAACTGCTCGTGTTTTTGACACAACGACACAAGCGGCGCGATCCCCTTTTTCAACTACTTGGGGATACGTAACTTTTTCCTCTTCCTACCGGAGGTCCCTTGGTCCACCTCTTCTCTGCGTTCCGATGCAACCTGTTCGGTTGGGTTCGAAACAATATCTAACCTTAAGTGCGGAGTGGAATGTGAGGGTAGGTACTCAACTCTGTATAACGCACAGGACTGTCTATTGCTTGCAATGGCTCCCTAAACCGAGCCCTTATTTGTCCGAATCTAACCTGGTTGACGATATCAACCCTTCAGGAGAGGTGCAGCGAATGGGAAGCTAAGTGCAAGAAACCAGGGGAAAGCTGCAAATGGAACACGGAGGAGGAAGATATGAAGAAGGCCCCCCGGGAACAGGAACAGACGCTAGAGAAGCTGGGGAGACTGATGAGTTTGACATGACCAAAGGACACATTAGAAGAGGAAGAGAATGAGATGTGGCAATGTACGTCGGAGAGGACTACGCCATGAAAGGAGAGACGGCTAAAGAAGTTAGGGCGATCTTCCGCGCTTAATGAGTGGGAATACTAACCTTGGGGGAGTATTCCCTCATCACTAAGAAAACGCGCATACCAAAAAATGGCATAGAGATCTAAGAGTTTATTGGGAAGCTGTTCATCCCGTATAGTGTAGACCCGCGACGGATGGTACAAGAGGTGTAGGAGGCGATAAAGGAGTTAGCGGAGGTCACCAGAGCGAGTGAGCGCAAGAAGATCCTGGTAACAGTCTGCGATAGGAAAGACATAGATAGTCTACGGAAAGCGGCTATCTATATAATAGGAGACCGAGCTGAGATACCGATGACGGCGCCTATGGAAGACGGAGGCAAAGGCTGGCAGAAATCTCCCACTGAGACCTTCAAGGTCAGACCAGGAAAGGCGATATTTTGGGTGAGGTGGAGAGAGGTGTCGGAAAGGTCGCGCCAGTTAGGAAACTGATAGAAGAGGTACGGAAGTTCCCTTAATATGCATAATGAGCATCGACGAGGTTACCGGGAAAGAGGAGATTGATTTATTTATTTTCCCTCTCTTGTTCTGGGCCCTCAACAGGCTTGCGCCCAATGATCGAAGAGGCGCAAGACATAGGTCAGCCCAGAGGCCAACCCAAGACAAGAATATTAGGAACGTTAATAGAGATTAGAGGCCAACAAGCAGCTAAAGTCGAAGTAAAAGTAGACAGCTCCAAAGATCTGGCGTTACATTGCCGTTGACCGGGTTGACAGGTGACTGCACTAATATCAGTTTTAAGTGAGTGCAACTATGCTTTTGTCTCTCTTTCTCCTTTTCTTCTTTATATAGTCTCACGATGAGGTTTCTCCAGATAAACCTTAATTATAGATAGATTTGGAGTGGGCGGTCACCGTACACAAGAATTGTGACGCCATAATAGCGTCGGAGATTGGTGCCGCAAGTGGGAAGGGGGTTCATAAAGACCATCGAGGCAGGGTGGGAGAGTGGTCTTAACCGCTGAGGGAGATGAGGGGCGGAGTTTGGGAGTGAAAGAGATGGGGATAGGAGACGTATACGTGTATATGGATACGTGGGACACTATAGTGTACAGTATGTAGGTATATCTCGCCAAATATGGTGAAAGACCAGTTCTACTATGGAAGGGAGGCGACAACGTGCAGTTGTGCAGGAAGCGTTGGGATTGGTCCCCATAAACAAGGGCAGTAAAAGCCCACGTTCACGAGAACAAGCCACTTAATAATAGGCGTTATCTTCGTTTCGGACGAGCTCCGGGAAAGACTGTGTGCGTAGGAAGTCCTGAAACAGCGACCACAAATACGTGCTGTGGGACCTCAAGGACGAACTCCTGAGTCGAGAAGAAAATCCGCAGTGCAAGCTGGACTGCGCGCAGATTGGACACTGAAAGGTTGCAGGAAATTGTAGCGGAAATCCCGTCCGAAGATCTGGAGGACGTGGATGATATAGGTACATACACTCCTGAATAGCTTATGCGTGAGAACGATGCCAAAGAGAGTAAAAGATAAAAGAAGAGGAGTTACTGGTGGACGGAGGAGATAGCGGAACAGAATAATAAATAGAAAAGCAAGGGAGGTGGCTGTGTGAAGAGGTTGATAACGACATCTGGAGACGGGGCTACAGGACCGTAACTAAAAAGATCAAAACAACAGAGACAAAAGAACGCTATCCGACAACAATAGTTAAACTCTTCCCCAGGCACGAAGGACTCCCACGCTGTGAGCAACAGGAAGACAATGATGCCGGATTATGCCCATAAGTAATGCAGAGGTAGTCGAGACGACGAAACAAATAGCAGCAAACAAAGCTCCAGGCCCGAGCGGAGTGTCGGTAGTGGTCCTCAAGGTGGTTCATCCTATGGGGTCATGGGGATAAATAGTTTATGTTCTATGAGAAGATCCCCGGCGACACTTTTGGCAAATGAGAGTGAGGCTGTTCCTGTTATCACCCTCAAACGTCACGGTGGTTGGAAATCTTATACAGTGGGAGAGAGCTACGTGGAAGACCTCGTTTCCAACAAATTAAGCCTTGCGAAGAAAGTCCAAGGACATCAAGACGAAAATGAGCCATTGCAATTTCTGCTCCTAAAGAGGTCACATCCGGAACCAACAAGTGGCAATATAATTGAGATGGAACGGCTATATCGAGCCCTCAAACAAACTTTACAATGTTAATATTAACTTGAATAAATAATTAGAGGAAAAAGATCAAAAGTAGATAATGGTGTAATGGTTTCCTACTTGAATGGTTTTGGATAACGGATATAGGTAATCACTTCAAGTTTTTAAGGAAAAAGTTAAATGCCCAAAGGTTTAAATTAAAATCTAATGAACGGCTTCTGTCCACAAAAATAGATATTAAACAGCAGTTTTGATCCTGTAAGTGTCACAAAGTTTTATTTTATTAGTGGGCATACTAAAAACAAAGAGTAACCACTCTTTGCTAAAAATACTAGAACCTTGTAGAGTTATCGATTTCACTTTTGTTGCCATAGAAGCTAAAATCCATACTAAGCGCCGCCACCATACCTACTACTTCTATTCAAGACTACAAACATTACTATGTTCAATATTTGGTATTGTCCTCAGTCGCTTGGACGAATAATAACAGTAAATGGACAGCATCAGTGATAATGATCGAAGTAACTTGGTTGCATATTGGAGCGTACCTTTAAATGATGGCGTTTACACTATTGAATTCGAACACGGAACTACGACTGGGAGAAGGGTTCTGCGAGTTAATGGAGAGGTGAGAACTTCATGTAGTGTTACAATTACCGATAGCAACTTTTAAAGGAAATTTTACGACGAGAGTGGATGTTTAAGCTGGTTGGAAATGAACGATTTAACATTGGAAAACAGGCAGCGAAATGCGAGTTACACGTGGATCCTTTACCTTACTTCGCCTTCAGTTACAGTTTAACAGTAGACGGCAAGTCGTTGGAAAAATTTACCGAGCAACAAAATAAGGCGATGAGATCGTGGGGTGTGCTTGTTGAGGGTGAAAGATACAGAATTGTGTTAGGTAATAATATAGCAAATTTATAAACAAACGATTGAAGATATTTTTGCAGAAAAGCAAACTCTGGATGTGTGGCTCAACGGACAGAAAGAAGAAGTCGAGCACGTTTTTACGCACGATGGAAGCGAAATTAATTTTCAGCTTGGTGAAGCTAAGGCGTCGATTAGAGCCGTTGGGGCAGTCAAAAAAGAAGGTGTTATTTACCAGTTGTACATAAACGACGAACTTCACGAAGATGAGCCCGAAACTGCGGAATGATCGAGTTTGCTAAAAAAATGTACTTTTACCAGCACGCGCACAAATAATACCAGGACCGTCGAGAGTTTCTGGTACGAGGCAGTGATCGGGTCCGAGGATGTATCCACATCTTTCCCACCCTCACGACGGCCCTGATAATTGCAAAGTGTATTGAAATGTTTTTACTAAATTACACAAGGTGTTTCTGCAACATTCGAATGTAATGTGAGATTTGTATTTATCAAAATAGTTAATAAAGATTCTAATTTCAAAAACTATTTTCTCAACTAAATTAATGACAACAATTTGGATATTATTATGTGTTTCCAAGTCCTACGACATCAATTACATGGCCCATGGGTCGCTAAGTTAATTAGATCATAAAATTCTGACTTTTTTTTCCATACAAAGTAGGTACAACTTTCACAAGAATTGGACCAAGATGATTACGATCGAAAAGTTGACTTCTCTGAATTAATGCCCCAAACAATAATTAACACATAATATCCTAAGTTTTCCAAAAACGATCTACTTTAGTGACGAATTGTACGTGCCTACTGGGATAACGAAAATCCACACTTGTTTCGAGAAGCTCGCACCCAATTTCCGAAAAAAATCAATGTTTAGACTGATATTCTTGGGAAGCAAATTATTGCGCCGCCATTCTTAGAATTATATTAGAATCTATTGGAAGAAGTGATAGACTCTCTGTACACAAAATCTAGTGGAGTCAAGTGGGCAGCAATAAAGACATGCTGGAAGATGAAGAAAATTTGCACTTTCAGCAAGATGGTGCTCCCCCACATTATACTCTGTCTATGAATTGAAGTGGCGGAGAGGGTGCCATTGCCAAAAGAATTAATTTGTTGATATTTGTATATGCGCCGCCTTATTAATAAACACCAAATTGTTAAAATTCTCCTTTTGTTGACCTCTTATAGAACCAATTCAATTTAATTTGGGTTATATCTTAAACAATTATTAATTACAGTCAATTTTGAAAGAATTGAAAATTAGTATGTTTTGGATCCCTTCTTTTGTTTTGTGGATATTTTCTTAACACGGGATGCATTTTCCCTTTACGATCTTGACGCACTTTCCGTCAAGCATGCGAAAATTGTTTAACAAACTTTTAAGAGTGCCCAAAGCGCAAATTCCCTAAATTCACGGCGCGTTTGCATCCATTTCGTGTACTCCTTGTTTAAGATTCTGCAATTATTTCCCTTTATGTAGACTAGAAACCAATTTCGAAAAAAAATTCAAAGGGCTGTAACTTTTGAACTAGTAGCCCAATCTTGGAACTGTTTGAAATTATGGATTCTACAGGCCACATTCTATAAGAAAATTTTTTTCCGGGTCGATCTGAGCCAATTTTTTTTCGGGGCTCAAAAAAAGGAAGTGTATAACCTTCCTTTTTTACCAAAAATCGACTACACCAAAATTTCTCGGGATAACACTTTTTCTTATTAATTTGGGTGCGCAGAATCCAAATCAATTCGTACTTTTTCGATCAGACTTCTTAATCAAAAGTTATAGACTAGAAATCAATTTCGAAAAAAATTCAAAGGGCTGTAACTTTTAGCCCAATCTTGGAACTGTTTGAAAGTATGGATTCTACAGGCCACATTCGATAAGAAAAATTTTTTTCCGGGTCGATCTGAGACAATTTTTTTTCGGGGCTCAAAAAAAGCAGTGTATAACCTTCCTTTTTTACCAAAAATCGACTACACTTTTTCTTATTAATTTGGGTGCGTAGAATCCAAATCAATTCGTACTTTTTCGATCAGACTTCTTAATCAAAAGTTATATGTAGATCACCGTATTTCTCGACAACGGCCATACCACGTTGAAAACACCGGTTCTCGTTCGAACACCGAACAAAGCCGAAAGCAAAGCTGTTATCTCTTTTTTTTTAATTTTTCCTCGTTGATTTTAGATTTTATTTTAATGTCACAAGAAAACATATTTAATAATACTAATTTAGTTTTTTTTAACTTTGACATTTTTTTCGAGTTTTTTGTAAGTTGTACAGGGTGGTTCAAATTCGTTGCTCACCATTGGTATCTCCGCAACGCTGAGAGGTACAATATGTTAAATGCGGACAGAGTCACATCTTTTTGTGACTAACAAAACGCATTTGAAATTTTTGAAAAATCTTTGAAAATAATGACTGAGATGTCACCGAAAAACTGAAAATGTCAAATTTCGTTTTCATTTTATCTTAAACGGTCAGAGATGGACGGTTCCCGTTAGCACATTTTATGGGCACTTTTTCTCGAAGAATGTGAATATGTTATCAGAATTTCCATAACACGCTAGATGTAGAAGCTACATGCTACTACTTTCTTTTTTGTTATAGACGCTATACTTACTGAATTTTTACGCAATAATATTCCGTAAAAATCCAATATGGTGCCCATAAAAAATAATGGAAATTCTGATAACATCAGATTCTCCAAAAAAATAAAGTTCCCATAGAAGGTACACGGAAACGGTTCACTTTAAACCGTTTAAGCTGTAAATGAAAACGAAATTTGATATTTCAGTTATTTTCAATGATTTCTCAAAAATTTCAAAAGCGCTTTTTTAGTCCCAAAAAGGAGCAACTTTGCTCCTAGTTAACCTACACTGTATCTCTCACCGTTGCGATTGGGATCGTGAGCGACGAAATGTGAACCACCCTGTAAGTATACAGAAAAAGAAAGTGTTTTGAATCATTTAATAAACATTTTGCGTTACTCTTTGAAAACGAAAGTTCAAGGCCGATATGTTCTCCTTGTTTTTTCGGAGTCGGTAAGGGCCGGCTCTTATTGTTGCGTCAACAATTAAAACTAAATTTTTTTGTGAGCAACAATAGCCTTGCATAGGAAATCGCCAACATACACCGATTACAAAAGATATTTCCTGCAAGATAAAGTTAAAAAAAGAAAAAGAGTTTTCACTTTAGCCCGCATTTTCCATAAATTGATCAGTACTTTCCGAAAGGTATTGTAACGGACTATTTATTTGTACAAAGGAAAAGCTATGGCTTACATATCCTTACAAATAAAACATACTAAAGAAACAAGCATTTTGTGGTGAAAAATATTTTTGTCAAAAAATTTCCGGTACCGGGAATCGAACCCGAGCCTCCTGGGTGAGAGCCAGGTATCCTAGCCACTAGACCATACCGGATTGTAATAACATTTTTATCAAGGTTGTTTAATCCTAGTCCTCAAGTACTTCAATATAAAATAAAGGACCATATTGATTTATGCAATAAATTCGCTTCGATACTTCGAAAAACGCAACCCAGTAAATCTGTTCCAAAAACATTCGGCCCCAAGTGACTTTATAGAAAGAATTTTTCAAGACTAATCTTCCTACAATCATTGAATAATAAATCAGAATCAGTTTATTATTCAACAGATTTATTATTCAATGCTACAATCGAAAGTCTCATTAGTGCACCTGCATACATATAGTTGATATATAGTACAACAAACATTAAAATGACCAATACCCCGATAAAGGCACATATTTATTTTGAAGTATCCAAGAAATAAATAATTATATTTATACCCTGTACAAATGCATCTCAATGACATAAACTACCCATCTTCTTCATTGCCACATATAGCTATGGAAGAGATGGGCTTGGAAAGCCTTCCAGGATAATAATTCCACAGACATATCCAAATGATCAGTTACCTGGTTATCACAATATATTATTGATAAGTTTCAAATCCCAAGTGATAAACGAAATTGGATATGAGGATAATAGGTATATGGTACCTATAGTCACTGATTATACTATAGTATATGTCAGTAATCATCATCTTGAACAGAGAGCACATCTTGGCAACTCTGAAATCAAACACCCCTTGTAACGATCTGGAACAAGTGCCTGGTGTAGAATTATTAATGAATAGGCTAGTTCAAGATCTACTCGGTTAAATGTACACATTCTAAGAGTTTATTAGAGTAGAAACTTAATTCTCATTCGCGAGGATGTATAAAGCATCCTGTCTGTACTCAAGTACAAGTTGAGATGCTGCAGCACAAGATTATCCAGAACACACGACCCAACACTGACCAAGTGCTTAGAATCGCTAGATTTGTACCCGAACATATCGTGAATGCTCGAATGAAAATACAGAGGACAATTTGGCAAACCTCAAAGCAGTCTTGGTTATAATGATGTTAAAGAATTTTTCTCTGAACCAAAATTATAATACATTCAACTGCAGCAAACCTTCTATTATGGCTTACATGCGCGTAGGTCATATAAATCGGTTTACATTAAACCAACTTGGCTAAACCTCACTTCATCACAGTAATTGTACAACCAATTCAAACTATGTAATCGGTTAAAAACACAAGAAAGAAAGAACAAGAATGATGCGCTGTAACAATTTATTGTTAACAACATTTTTTTTGTAATTTTATGGGTTAACGGTTACAGATGTTAAGCGATACTGCTAGCATTCGACGCAATCCTCGGCCATAAATCTGCACACTCTTTCGCTACAGGTCCTGTAATCGCGGATCCTTTCATTTCCCCTTTATTATTTACAATGACCCCCGCATTATCTTCGAAATAGATAAACACACCGTCCTTCCTCCTGAATGGTTTCCGTTGCCGTATAACGACCGCTGGCATGACTTTTTTACGTAATTCTGGTTTGCCCTTTTTTACAGTCGCCACAATCATGTCACCGGAACCGGCCGCTGGTAAACGATTTAGCCGACCTCCGATTCCATGTACGGCAATTACGAATAAATTTTTCGCACCTACAAGAGAGAGGTTGAGGTTAGGACGCACAAGTACTTATTTATAAAGACAGTTTTGTGGCATTTATCATTTACTCACCGGTGTTATCTGCACAGTTTATAACTGCTCCTACGGGTAAACCCAGGGAGATCCGGAATTTGGCTCCGGCCGATCCACCACGTCCTAAAACATAAACACTTTTAAAACATGATTATCATCACAATTTCACGAGAATAAAACATCGGTGTTAAGAGGATCATCCGTTCATCTGCAACCGTGTTATACATTTTTGACATTAACGTAAAGGATTAATTAAATAATTTTGGATTAATTTAGAGAAACTTACCTCTTTTAGACATTTCTGTTCTGTTAACACAGGGAAAAGGATTTTATTGGAGAAGATAGTGCTGCCAACCTCAATAACCTATGAAGGTAACGCAACTGTTTTAAAAACCACAGAGCATATTCATATATAGAGTGTGTTCCAACAAAAACTGGTACGACTTTTCTATTATCGGCCGGTTACCCACCAAATATGAAAAATGTTTGATCAGGTTTACGATGAGAGTGTTTAATTTCATTGTTACCTGTTTGCGCGACCAACTTTTAATAAAACTATAAATTATCTAATATTACGTTATAAGTAATGATAACGAAATTCAGAAAGTAGGCAGGTATAATTTGTATTTACTAGAATTAATTCTCTGTTCTGAACCTAATTTATTTTTTTAGTTATTTTTTAAAACAATCTTTTATTGAAGCGTACTCAGCTCATCTTTAGTACGTTTCAATAAAAGCTTGTTTTTGAAAATATTTTTTACCATTTTTGGCTCGCTGCGCTCTGAACAGGTTACTGAATGCTTTAGAAAGACTTGAGCAGCAAATTTCGAAAGCTTTCTAGCACTCTCCTAGAGCGTCTATGCCCTTTCCATAGCGTTCTTTACTTTTCAAATCTTTCTGAGCTGTATATTACCTGCCCAGAGCTTTCTTGGCTCTTCTAGTTCTGTAAAGATCATCGAAACCTTATAGACCTATGTCCAGAACTGTTATGGAGCTTTTATTTCCATACTTGTTTAGAACTTACTCGAAAGTCCTACAAAATTGCCTAGTGCTTATCCGGGGAAAGACTTCCAAAATCGATTTCCGAAGCATTTTCCTAGCACGTATACTCGTATATACAATGCTAGATGACACAACGCACCGAAATTTTTAAACCACAGAATCATATCTACTTAAACGCTGTTGAGATTTTGTTTTTGTAGGTTGGCCGCCCCGCTATTTACGACATAACCCTTCTTTCAGTGTATATGTATTTAAACAAATATCTTTGTAAATTTATTGTTTTCGTTTCTTATATCTTTTGAAAATGTTTTCGGGAACCCCTTTGTTGGATAAAATACAATACGAACTGGGAGGTATTAGTTTATATCGCATTTTGCAGATTTATCCCATTACATAATCTATTGCAGCCCAAGAGCCTTGGCCGAAAGATGTAAAATTATATCAGCCCTACGAGGTGGAGCAAATCCTGTTACCAGATAATGCAAACTGTTTGGCTGTGCAGGCATTTTTGCGAATGTGCAACTTAACTTTTGAAGTTGTGTCAAAATCAAACGCAGAGTTCATGTCTCCATCTGGCAAGGTACCATTTATTCGTTGCGGTGCGTTTGTTATTTCCGAATTGGAGCCGATAGTGCAATTTGTCAATACCAAAGGCATATCTCTAACGTCAGAGCTGGAAAGTGATCAAAAATCTGATATGCGCGCTTATATGTCGTTAGTTCACAATGTCCTGGAGAATTCGGAGGTAATACCGCAATTATTATCTCAAGTGTTTATTAATTTTACTTAGCTTTACCTATGCTGGTGCGATAAAGAAACTTATAATGAAGTGACCAAACCACGTAACGGCTCAGTTTACCCTTGGCCACTAAACCACTTGCAAACTTGGACAAAGAAATCTCACGTAATAAAACGTCTTAAAATGATGGGTTGGTTTAGCAAAACAATAGACCAGGTCTACCATGAAGTGGAGAATTGCTGCCAGGCGTTAGCAGATCGCCTCGAAGGAAAGGAATTCTTCTTCGGCAAGAAGTAAGTAAAATTTCATAATCCTCTCCACTCCTAATCCTTTCAGGTGCACCGAGATTGATGCACTAATTTACGGTCACATTTACGCTTTCCTCACGACCCGCAATCCCAAGCTTACAAAAATTCTCCAAAAACACAAACAATTGCTTACCCATGCTCAACTAATACACTACCGGTGCATGCGAAACCTTCACGAATTGTCCCCATCACGCAGCATTCCTTTAAGAAAGCATAATCTTAGAGGGAAAAGTAAAGATGTAGGGAAACGTCCTAATGTAAGTTTCATACGTTTATATAGCAGTGGTAATCACTATTAAATTGATAGGAGAAAAGTAAGAATATATGGACAAATCCGCCAGTTGAAACCACCGCCTCTGGCGACACAGAAGGAGAGAGTTTGTCTGATGTTGACTCTGAAGATTTAACTGATTGTTAATTGTCTGTTCTGAATAATTGTACTAAATAAAATTTCTTTTGCAGTCCCACAGAGCTTGATGCTTTAATTTTCGGTCATCTATTCACCATACTCACTACGCCGCTACCGAACAGTCACATTGCTAATATTGTAAGAAATTTTCCATCTCTAATCAATTTGGTGCAACGAGTGGAGAAGGATTACTTCAAGCGGGATACGATGCGTTAGTCTGATGAAGTGTATCTTAGTTTTTGAAAGCAAACATATTTTTTATATTAGTTATACAGAGTGAGTTGAGGCTACTCATGAGTTGTGTAATAAAAGATTTTATTTTTTACTGGAAGCTGAGAATGTGAAAGGAATAACATTGTATCATAGTCTTTGAGTAAATATTAGTTTTTATTTTCTGTGTTTTAATTGCACTTTTAATTAGCTTTCTAGCTCCCGCTAAGTGGCTATTGCAATCACTGTTTTTTGGGCATGTCAAAATTTTTTCTCGCCTATGTACGGTACGTATGTTGCCAATTTTCTGAGTTTGACGGATTTTGTTCACATTTTGAATGTATATATACACATAGAGAACGGGCCCCGAAGGAAGCTGTTCTGTCAAGAATCTGGACAAAACGCAAACAATACTACATTTTTTTAATTCTTAAAAAATGCACTGAAAATGCCAATTAGAACGGATATCTTGTATAAATGCAGGTTTTTAAAAACTGTTTGATAAAATGCGTAATTTTGGTTCACCCCTATTTGTCGTCCAAGGTGATTGTTTAGTGTGAATAAAAAAAAAATACCCACAATTTGCAAGGGAGAAAATTTGTAACGCACCAAAGATCTAGGGGGGCTATGTGGTGGTATTGGCAGGGCCGGCTTTAGGCGTAAGCGGTGTAACCCTCCGCTTACGGAGCAGACAAGGAGGGGCGCCAAATTACTCAAATTTAATGACTGCCGAATCACGGATGTAAAACACCGACGGCGTTTTCTATTTTTAAGATCAAACTATCACGATATAACATAAATTGAAAAAAATCCTAATATAGTAAGAAATTATGTAGCGAATATTCCAGAAATCCCGATAGATATCGAGGCGCCATAAAAGATTAGTAATCGGTGATAAAGAACAAAGGCGGATGGGATGTAATCTTTCCGGAAAATGTGATGTGTTTTGTTCTATGTTCAAGACCATTCGGGAGCACTCGAGAATACTCGAGTTGGCTATATAAGAAAATCGAATTGCGTTTCAGGAATGTTCCAATTTCAACACCGAAGTAATAAATTGTTCCCACTGGTATAAAATGAGTTAATGTGAATGATAAATAATATTTGGGTGTTATAAATCAATTCATTTCAACATTGCGATAAATGTATTGTTAATTAATTGTAAATAAATAAATCACGTAATTAAATTTACGTTACAATGTGTTTTAAGTATATTTTTAAAAACCTGCTTGCCAACAGACTATAGCGCGGCGACCAGGAACGCAAATTTTAGTGCTTCGTACACGTAACTTTTGCCTCGAGTCGGCCCTGGGTATTGGAACTATAATAGTAGGACGAGAAGTTTTTAATTGCGATAGAAGGGTCCCAGAGGTACCTCTTACCTTGAGACGCTTTAGTTTTTTTTATAGAATTTTGAGTTGTCAATAAAAGTTGAGATCTGTTATAAGCTCCAGCTCCTTAGATCTTGAATACCTACTATTTGCCCAGGAGATTTAACTCTTAATTAGGTAACAGAGAAAAGTCAACACCATGTATGATACTTACCTAACTGAATTTATTTTTATTCTTAATAAAAGTTAGGTATGATCGTAGGAATTCTTGAAGTAGGTTAGGTGCTTGAAAACTACCTTCAAAGGGACACGAACTAATCGAAAAACGTTTCTAAAGGCGGCTCCACACGCAACGGAAAAACCGAAGGCATGCCTCGGGGCGACGGGCCTTGAGGCGAACCTATATTATGGGGGGTCTCCACACACTACGGAATATACGAAGGCCAGCCTTAAGGCACGCCAGTTTCGCGCAAAAATTACGTCGACAGATAACGTTCTTCCTGTTGTTGGATTATTGTTAGCTGTCGAAAGTACTAAAAAAGAGTGACGCGAAAGTTCTGGACTAAAGACTGGTTACAGAAAAGGAAATGTTACTTCCATGTAAATTTATTAAAAGACCTGAGGTTCAGTCTGAAAGATTGGCACAATTATTTGCGGATGGATGAGGACACATACTTAAGGCTCTTATCATTGGTGACGTCGATCATTTACAAAAAGGACACCATAATGAGGACCGCAATTAGACCTCATGAAAGATTGAGTGCCACATTACGATTTCTGGCTATAAATTCCTCTTGTTTTTGCTTTGCACGGGCCCTGACTATATGAAAACTTGATGCAACGGACCTCTTTTCACACAAAACTACACCGTGTGTCAATATGACATTAAACAAAATATATATTTCATATGGAAACTCATATTTCTTCTTAAAAATTGTGTAATTTTAAATGTGTCTATGGCCAGGTTTGGTGGTTGACACACGGTATACGTATAGGGTATAAGGGAATGGCCTCAAGGCCTACCTCCCACCGATCCACACAATACGATCGGCCTTGGGGCGCTATAAAAGAAGAGGCAAATCGAATGAGATTTTGTATTGAAATTTCCGGCCTCCAGGCGTTAGATGCGCAGGAAAACCTCAACAGAATTCTCCATACACACATAGAGGTTTTCCTTGAGGTCTTGCGCCTCGAGGCATGCCTTCGGTTTTTCCGTTGCGTGTGGAGCCGCCTTAAGCCTTTTATAATTTATGCCCTATAGACGGTCAAGCGTAGGGGTAATAATTACGTATAGGTACATCAATGCATGAATTTCCAAAATCTAAATATTAGGTTTTGCATATACCTACCTCTTTATGATGGAAGATGATACACAAAATTGTGCCCAACTGTACATAATAGTTTAATTCTGCTGTTAATTAAAATGGCGAAAATTAGTCCGTTAAAACGATGCGATATTAGTAGGTACTCCAACCCGAAACGCGGTCACCCCATAACTGGTAACAAATAAATTTAAAATTACGCGTTATCACCTGAGACAGGTTCCTTCTATTCAATAGGTACATTCAATCGGTGTAAAAATCGATTACTCACCTCTCGGTGTGCATCATCATATGTTCTAATAAGTTAAATAAAAACATAATTTGGCAAACAAATTCCGAAACCGAAACAAAGTTTAGTATTTCAGCTAATTATTGCATTGTCCACAAAATTTGACATTTCTTATCTCCACGAACGTCGTCTATCCAAAACTTGAAAAAAACGCTTAGTCGGGTAAGGGTAGATGAACTACAAAAAAGTGTACATTTACCCATACCTTCCCTATTTCAGCTTTTTATTATCGTTTTTGTTTCGTTGATCTTATTTTTGTATCTTTGATACGAATATCTTACTTCTTTAATTTTAGTATCTAACAATAATTACAATTATTATTATTATCTGGAATTACCCAAAAGAGTTGTTTCCTGATCTGGGGGGGGGGGGCATTTTAAGGGTTATCTTTGCTATCTTCTAGGCAATTGTCGGTGCCAGGTAATGATATTTGGCTAAATGCCAGCTTTGAGCTCCTTTAAAACTCATTGCAAATTTAGAACTGTACCGACAACGTGTAGTAAAGCAAGGATGTATGCATTTCATTAAAAAAAATCGATTGTTCCTAATTTGTAATTTTTTGGTAAAAAAATCAAAAATTTAAATAGCTAGGAAGAAGTTTGCGGGAATTACATTAACAAGAAAATTGCAGAGAATGTCATGCAGCAATAATTGTAGCAATAGTTTTTTACATAAAAGTCAGGAAAATGGTACATTACAGGCGAGGAAATATTGAGGTGCGAGGCCCCTTTTGGGGCCGAGTATTTTAATTTCCGAGTCAGGTAATGACATTTTACTGACGAGTTTTGTATTAAATTTTATCCGAAATCGTCTTTTAATACAAAATTTCAATGTTTATATATAACGTTTAATTAATGTCAATCTGTCATAGTGATGACAGGAGTCATTATATACAATTGGAAATGTCAAAAATGCGGCTGGTAAAGTGACGGTGCGGCCAGTAAAAAGCGGCAGGAAACGTAGTCTGCTCTGCCTCTGTTATGCAAACTAAAATTTCCTGACCGAAAGTAGGCATGAAATTCATGAAAATGAAGGTTTCCGGACGATTTTGGGTAAAAACTTGTACGTGCAATTTGGTAGGAAAGTAGCAAAAAGCTTATTACCTGGCAATTACCTAACGAAGCGGTAGGAATTACTGTGCAAGAAAAAGCAAAAGCTATAGATAGCTACGGTACAGTAAACCTAATGTACATACCTAAAAGCATAGACCAAATACAATTTGGTCTATGCTAAAAGCAAAAATTCTACGTCTGAATGCAAAATAAAAAATTGAGCCCATTCTCGGCTAAACCGGAAATTAAAAAAAAGGAATTGAAATTTTTGCCCAACATCTAATTATAGAATAGAAGCACCCGGCATTTTCTACGGTTGCGTGAAATATTTACACCCTCCACAGATTAATGTTGCCGCAAAACTTTTATATTGTTAAGCTGATACAGTAGAAATAGGTTTCTTGTTATTTTAATATTGAAACTTGGCGTGACAATAGGGACCTATTTGTTCTGTCTAATATACCTTTACCAAAACTAACACAACTTTAAGATAAAATTATGATTAACAAACGAAAATGTTACTAGGCAATTTATTTTATTTCAATAAACAATTTCGCGACTGGAAACACTGGAACCCTTGTAGTCGTTGAGGTAGGTAACAAAAACCGAAACAAAAACAGCAAGTAACTACAACAAAAGTTTAATAAAAAAAACACGGTTTAACAGCAAAGTGGCCAAAAACAAGTCGCTGATCATTATAGATATTTTCTGGAGAAACGCGCAAAAGTCTTACCTATAGGTATATAAAAATCATGAAGTACGAAAATGTATTTTATTTTAACATTAAAAGTTACAGACAACATTTAAATTAAAAAGTAATATTAAAGCACCATCGTCATTGCATACTTGGCATTATTTAAATTAAGTAAGTATATAAGAACAAACTATGGTCGAGGACCAGAAAGGCATTAAATTGTGGTTTAATATTTACAGAAACAAAATAAAATGCCCCTGTGATCCAAAACCTGAAGAGTAATTTGCATATACTTCCCTAATTGGGTAAGTATAAGTAAAATACTCCACATACTCCTATGCTACATCAAAATCGTACCTCAAAGAAAGGTACTCATTCTGAGGTACCTAAGCTTACTTCCTTTCCAATTTAATTTTGATTACATTAGAAGGAAGTAAGGCAATAAAAACGTAGTTGAGAGTTATACCATCACCATTTCCCTTAGTCTTTTAAAGCTAATCCGATAACAATTACATTTTAGTAAAGATGAGCAAATTACTATCCGATCTTAAAATGGCACCTAAAATCTATTCGTTTCGTTTCGATTTTATTTAACTTGTGTGGCTGTAGGCAGTGTTCGTGTATGGTCCGCTGTATATTGAGCTTCCAGTATGCGAGGTGGTCTTCTTATTCCTTCGACTCGCAAGTAGACATAAAATGGCAGCTATAACGGCTAACATCAGTATTAAACCGGCGACGCATATGCCAATCGCGAAATTTTTTTGCGAGATACAAATGTTGTCTTCGGAGGTCTAAAAAAAAATAATCAATTCAACGTTAAGTACAAAAACAATGCATGCGCCTAATATTCAGTCGTAATGTGTACTTTCACTTTTCCTCTGCGTTTACGTGCAGATTGTGTGGTGTAACTGTAAATCTAATTGGACCTCATAGATTTTTAACACGATATGTATACAAAGCTAATTTGTTACAAATTATAGGCATGGTTCGCCGTGTACTACTTTTTTCTTTCTCTATTAAGATTTTTTTTAGGCTCATATTGTTGTTTAACATACAAATACCATCAGAATTTGACGAACAATGACTTATTTTTCTTATACCTACATAATTTTTGTATCTGCAAAAAATAGGTAGGTACCTTTCACCATTTGGAAAGACTAAAAACTCATCATAAATAACCACTAAATACTGGTAGAATCTTTGAAAATTTTCCATGAAATATTACAAGGCAATTCTTTGGAGGTACAGCTTGCTTGAAAGCGAATGTTCGTTGGAGCAAGTTCATAGTGAGCGAGAATTCCGTTGGAAGCGAATTTTCTTTGACACATGCGGCGGGGTGGGTGAAGAGAATCTTCCTGAGACAAATTTTATGGGGAGTGTGAATTTTCCAGGACGTGTATCCCGAGGACGAACGAATTTTCTCATAAAAATAGAGAAGTAGATATAACAATGGACTAGGTTGCAAAGGTTTTCTTAAGAGCAGTTTTCTGGGAGTTTAAGTTTAATTTTTGTATATGAATAATGAATATTCCTTTGATGAAGTTTCTAGTGAGTGAGCTGGGGAAAATCTTCCAGGAACGAATATTTCGGAGGTGAATTTAGCTGAATACGAGATTTCCCGAGAAAGATTCTTCGGAAGGGAATTTACGGGGGCGAATTTTAATTTGACGATTTTTTTTAAGAGCAATTCTTAAACTGGTATGAAGAGAATGTTCTTTTTAAGAAGTTCTTGATACATTCATTGGAGAGAATTGCCCTAGGAGACGAAACATTCGGGACTTTTCTTTGATCTGTCGGAGATGAATTTACCTAGAGGCCAATCTTTGGGAAACAATTTCGTAGCGTATCAATCGAAAAGAATTGGAGTAGCAAAAGCAGTGGGGAACTAAAAACTGGATACACAGCGGCCCATAGTCTTCCAAAGGAAGCTGGTGGACGAGTATTTCAGAGGGCGTGTATTTTCTTTGGGAGTAGTGTTCTAAAAAGAAACCTTCCGGGAGGAAATTTGGCCTGGGGTGTATTAATTTTCAAAGCGATCGGACCGTTTCTACTTTAATGTTATCGTGCACACGGGTTACGAACAGACGGACAGACAGACAGCAATACAACATTATAAACGATCTAGAGGATCGTTAATAAATGGGTTACGATTTCGTAGTATTGTCTAAAGTTGAATCTCTGTTACCTATGAAAGAAAAAGTGCCGTCATGCGAGACCATAGGGCGTTATAACTCTTTATGCTTTGTATCTCAGTCCCCCAAAAATTGCGTATTTGAATTTACAATATACACAAAAAATGGTAAAAACCTGATTTATTGTAAAGATTTCATAGGAGATGCTTCATACGGTAAGATAAACGTGACTAAAATTCCAACATCCAATTTCTTTTTCACTGTATAATGTTGCAAAAAAAGTCAATTTAAATTCTAAGAAAGCATGATTCAGGATATAATAGCGGATACGTTGTTTGTGGGCACCTACTGCACAAATATTTCATCGCATCACATCCTTTTTGGACGAACAATACTTTTTGTAACGCTTCGCCAATTTGGTATAATTATACGTAAAAAAGGAAGTTCGAGAGGTGCATCTTGAAAAATAAATGAAGAATGATACTTACTTTCTCGCTATAGACAGAATCATCATCAACGCCCGCCTTTTCGAGGTCATTAGCTTCATTAACATAAAGGCCGCTATAGACTTCGATGGTTGCTGGGGTTCCTTCGTTCGGTTCGGCGTTTGCCTGCCTACGCAGTCTATTGGCCCCGCATTTGGGTGGCTGCAAAAAATATGCCCAAATTAGAGAATTTCATTAACTTATAACTGGTCCCACTCCCATTTTAGAACAGTTATGCCGATTTTTTGTCTACTAGTCCTATAATCGGTGTGCGCCAAGAAAATCGTTTCAAACAATTTTTACGTAAACGACATTTAACTAGTTCAAACTGGGCTTTACGCCTTCACAGTATTTCAAAATCACCTACTTACATACATATAAACTAGGCATCTCAAACTGAAAATAAATGGAAAACTCCCATTCCGATACAATAATGTAATGCTATTTTCTACACTATATGATGGACTACAGAACAGAGCTGGGCAGAATATTTGAATACTAAATACTTTTACGTCCAGCGCACAAGCGAATACTAGATACAGATACATTGAAAAGTATTCAAATACTATAAAAAGTATTCGAATACAGTAAAAAGGATTCAAATACTTGTCACTCAAATACATTAAAAATTTAAAATAGTATACTAGATAAAAGTCTTAATACTACTTAAAAAATCAAGTTATACTTTGTTTGGGGTTAGCTTTTTTTATATTTCTATTGTTATATACAAATTTAAGGGGAGTAAAAGCGTATTATTATTGTTATATTATTATATAGGAGGTAGATACCAGGACCTTTCTTATACCAGTTATATCCTTAAGAATACGTGTACCAGTTTTCAAAGCGATCGTACGTCGTGCACATGATACGTACGCCTTTCTGAAATTAATCCTAGCGATTTTGGAACAGATCCATTTTTGACCATCCGTTTGTCCATGTGCATGATGACTCGTTTAGAAACGTGCGATCGCTTTGAAAATTGGTACACATGGTCTTAAGGATATAAGAAAGGTCCCTATTGTTTTTAAGTTACGTAGACTATCCAGTCAAAAAGTTTCACTACAGGATCGTTCGGTGTTCAGTTGTATCGGATTTTTATATTTGATTTTGTGACAATGGATACTTTCCCTAAACATTTCTAAATTGTTCCCAAATATTTGAATAAATTTTGGTGTAGTCGATTTTTGGTAAAAAACGAAGGTTATACACACTGCCTTTTTTTGGGGCCCGAAAAAAAATTGTCTCAGATCTACCGGGAAAAAACATTTTCTTATTTCTTATAGAATATAGTTCAAAAGTTACAGCCCTTTGAATTTTCTTTCGAAATTGGTTTCTAGTCTATAACTTTTGATTGAGAAGTCTAATCGGAAAAGTACGAATTGTTTTGGATTCTACGCACCAAAATGAATAAGAAAAAGTTTCCCGAGAAATTTTGGTATAGTCGATTTTTGGTAAAAAAGGAAGGTTATACACTGCCTTTTTTTGAGGCACGAAAAAAAAATTGTCTCAGATCGACCAGAAAAAAAAATCTTCTAGAATGTGGCCTGTAGAATCCATGACTTCAAACAGTTCCAATATTGGGCTACTAGTTCAAAAGTTACAGCCCTTTGAATTTTCTTTCGAAATTGGGTTCTAGTCTATAACTTTTGATTGAGAAGTCTAATCGAAAAAGTACGAATTGTTTTGAATTCTACGCCCCAAAATTAAAAACAAAAGTGTTTTCCCGAGAAATTTTGGTGTAGTCGATTTTTGGTAAAAAGGAAGGTTATACACTGCTTTTTTTTGAGGCCCGAAAAAAAATTGTCTCAGATCAACCCGGGAAAAAATGTTCTTATAGAATGGGGCCTGTAGAAGCCATAATTTCAAACAGTTCCAAGATTAGGCTACTAGTTCAAAAGTTACAGCCCTTTGGATTTTCTTTCGAAATTGGTTTCTAGTCCATAACTTTTGATTGAGAAGTCTAATCGAAAAAGTACGAATTGTATTGGATTCTACGCACCAAAATTAATAAGAAAAAGTGTTTTCCCGAGAAATTTTGGTGTAGTCGATTTTTGGTAAAAAAAGGAAGGTAATTAAGTATTCAAATACTATGCGAAGTATTCGAATACTTCTCAAAGTATTCAAATACCTTACAAAGTTACAAATACAAATACTGCTTCCATAAAAGTATTTAATTACAAAGTATTTGAATACTTAAAGGATTTGAATACTAAAAAGTATTTACAAAATCGAATACTGCCCAGCTCTGCTACAGAATGCAAATATGAAAACTGCATTATAACGTACATAAGAAAAGAGGTCAAAAGCCATGGAAAAATAATAAATATAAATATAATAAATAATTATGCTGTTTTGTCATTCTGTTCATTTCAAACTCGCCCACCCCCCCTGGTAATTTCGTATAAAGGGGTTGGACCATCCAACGTGACGCACGCATATGCATTCGTGAACCTCCTTCGCTAACAACTCCAAATAGAAAAAGAAATGTATTTCGATTTTTCCCAAACCGTTTGGGTCCTGTTTGACAGCATGGGAGAGTTTCCATAGATGACATATTTATTGCTGAAATGCTATTGCATATTTCACGTCTGCGTTATCAGGTTCAAGTACCTGGATGTGGTACCTCGGTGCGGCCGACCAGAATGGAAATGTACATTAAAATCGATTAAAGGTCAAAAGGAATCAAATATGCCATTGTCACCACTACAAAATGGGTAGGGGCCTAAGGAAGTATTAGAAACTGTAGATCATTATTGATAAATTATTCATACATTACTGGATTGAGAATTGTATGGATGATGTACGTAATTCCCAGAGTGTTGAGGTTGGAGTACAAATAGCAAATGATTCCTCAAGAGAAGTGCTAATCACAATTAATAATGTTTGCATTTCAATATCCTCTAATGATGAAAAAGGAAAAATGATCCAACTGAGTTGCGCCATGGATTATGGACAATTTGGGCACGTTCTGCCCAAAATAATGAAGTTTGGCCGTACTGATCAAATAGGCAAAGAAAGTTGATACTAAAATGCAAATACTTTCAATACAAGCATTTGAACCTCGGGCGCATTCAATCACTTCATGTGTGAAACTATAGGTAGAGTTCACCAAACTTGAGAGAGAAGAAACAATATTTGATTATTCAACTACCTATTGCTATTGAATAGGTACGGTGAATGTAAAACTGTAATGAAAAGTAAGTATGCTAATTGCACTTTCATTTTCTATTTACCTACAGAAAAAACCGATGCCTATACAGGAATTCGTCACGCCAACTTCCGAAATTAGCCATTAATTCCATCGTATCTGTATTAGATAATTGCACTATTAATTCCAATAAACAACAGTCGTTAACCAACACCATCAGACCATAATTACGTAGGTCATTCTGCGGAACGTTTGTGAAATATCCAAACCGAGATGAAAACAGGTTTAGCATGACTACGAAACGTATACTTAAAATTCAGCATAAAGGTGGGTGGGTTTTTCATGCGAAGAAGAAAAAATACATTACACACAATGACCTTGTTGGTAGGTATAAATCCTCCAGTCCACCCATGGACATAACATCGAACAACCGTTATAAGCCATTAAGATGACCTGACAAATCACTTTTTTTCAGGTATAACGGATAATTTCTCTAAGACTAATTTTTCAAAATATATAATTACTTGAAGACTTCTTGTTAAGTGCAAAAATTCTGATCTTAAGTTCGATAACTTTGCAAGTTCAATATAATCGTTTCCGCCTCTGCCTCTCGCATATTTGCCTATTTTCCTTTGACAGCTAAGAACATAAAGAAATTCTCACACGCTCTTTGGAGAATTTGTGGTTGCTGGTAAAAACAATCTTATAAGATGAATAAGACAAGTCAAATTAACAAATCAATGTTCAGTATTGTAGTGTCGTTAATTTTTCTCATTAATAGTGCACAATGCACCCAGTTTCTGAAACTTTATTTGGTAATTATTTTGATGTGGTCATTACAATCCAAATGTCGCAAAACTTACGTATAATAAAAACATTTCGAAACCAACGGCCTTTTTTTAAATAAGAAAGACACTTCTGAGTGTAATTGTTTTTTCATTAGTTGCAAGAATTGCGCGTTTTTATTGTCCGGTTGTCTCTTTAAAGTTAGAACCTTCCAGTTTATCTGGTTCATATTCTAAATTTTAAAGGTGAACACCATACGGTAATAAATTGCAAAACATAGTTTCATGATTTCCTCTTGGTCTCACGTTTAATCGTTCTAAATAATTACGCTTTCGATTCCATGACCAATACGTCAACCGCACGCTTTACCTGTGCCTGCTGGTTTGTAGACCTCCGAAAATATAAAATCAATCGTGTTGATAACCTAGTAAGAAAGGGTGTACATGCTACTACAAGACAAGCTTATGAAGCGTCACCTATAGCGTCTCCAGTTCTAGAAAGTACCTACAATACTCTGGGAGAAACTTTTGGAAAGGCCTTAGCGCATTTTGCCGATTCCATCATTGAACAAGGTTCTGGCTTTTCAGATGAAATCATGTTTTCTGATGAAGTTTTATGTGTAAAAAATTATCAAAGTCCTCGTTTGAGATCGAAGGGACTTCAGCGCATTTTTGTGTGGCAGATCAGTATTCTATTAGTCACTTTCGACTCAACCATCAATAACAGATCTTGTCGAAGGCTACTACATTCACTAACCGCTTCCCACTTTCCGCGTGCACCCCTCAATTCGCTTTTAAAAATTTGACTCCACCATCAGTAAGATCGTGTCGGAGGCTACCACATTCCCTTTGACGGTACCCACTTCCGACGTTCCGTTCACCCGCAATTCGCGTTTGAAGATTTGACTCCACCATCAGGAAGATCGTGTCGGGGGCTACCACATTTCCTTTGACGGTACTCCCTTCCGACGTCCCGTTCACCCGCAATTCGTGTTTGAAGATTTGACTCCACCATCAGGAAGATCGTGTCGGGGGCTACCACATTCCCTTTGACGGTACCCACTTCCGACGTTCCGATCACTTCTATTGGCGACACGAGAAAGAGAGACAGCGATTCGAGGTTTACGAAACGTTAAACCGCGTGAGTTGGCAACGGAAGGTAAAAGGCGCCCGAAGTTGACTACTTCTCGAAGACGCGCGAAGGTCGTTAATTTCGTCCCTATGACAAAAAACAAAATTCCGCCACGCAGGAGTTGTGCGCGTTTACAACATCTTTCCGACGACACCAATTTCAAAAGAATCGGACCAAAACTGTAGTAGAAGATAGGAAAAAACTGAAAAACCTTCACGTTAGTATACTACGCTCGAGGATGACGCCCAGATGTCGCCAACCCCACATCATGTAGCCATGTCCCTAAGGTTGACAAATTTCACGGCCCTGTAGATACACGTACACCCGTTGCCTTTCTACAAGAGTTCTTCTACGCGCCCACATTTGCTGCCATCCAGCCAGCCAGCCAGCCAAAGTGAGATTAAAAGCTACTTTTTACAAATAAATTTGCAAAAATGCGCTAAAAAACGCAGTTGAAGCTTGTTTTGCGTCGGAGTCGTTTGGGTATTCGGGCTCGGCGAGTAACTATATAAGTAAAAATTGGGTGGGAGAGAGGAATCTTCACCTCGACTTCAAGACGAATCTATGTGAGTGGTGCGCGATATTTTATATCACGTAATAATGAATTTTTCACCGAGCATTCGAAGTGAAACTATTTTGGAGCGCGTAACATTTTTAACTGACAGTTGCAAGACGAATTCGTATAATCGAGGTAGAAGGAAGACTCACACCGCCGTGTATGGTGCATTTTCGTTTCGTTGCATTATTGGAGCAGTGTGATCGCGTTTAAATAAGTTGTTACCACAAAAGCGTTGTGGTTAAAGCACAGCACGCTTCAAACAAGTTTATTAATCAATTTTTGCACCCCTCTTGTGCATACGCGGTGATAATAGATTCTGAATAAAAGGGTAACCGGTAAAAAGCTTATAAAGACGATTAATTCGCGCTTTCGCTGGCTGTTTAAGTTTAGCGTTAATGATACAGGATTATTCATAATGGAAAATATTGAGATCCTCTATAGATTTGATTGAAATTCCTAACGATTTCCACGTACGTCTTTTCCACTCACGTTTCAAACTTTAAGCTGCAGATCCCAACTCGTTATTGCGTTTTTTTCATGAGCTAGAGCCAATTAACTTTACAAGAGTGAGAGAATGCGACCGTTCGTATTCCGTGCGTTCAAGCATCTCAACTCCTTCCCTCAGTATATCGAGAAAAGCTTTTTTCCGCTTTTTCCATAAAAATGTGCATTTTTGCTTATAAAAATCCCATCAGTTCCGTTTCACGTCATGACGTAGCGGAGGGGTTCCGCTCTCGGCAATAGATTTACCATTTGCAAGAAGAGTTGTGTGCTGCTTTTTGACACTTTTTGGGGCGTAAGCTTATGCCTGTCGTTCTCCTTCACGTCAGTACAAGGGGGAAGGAGGTTAAGATCTAGTTCCGCAACCAAAAGAACATTTCACCCTCAAACCAATCACACCCGTGGACTACTGAATTGAAAGGCAGTTTTTTTATTCTCGTTCTCCCGCTACAGGGATTCAAAGTCGGGCCTGTGTAGATGCAATATTAGCGCCCCGCTCTCCCCATTCTTGGGAATCTTTGAGTCCTTAAACCGACTTATTGTCGTTATCCATAATAACAACACTAAAGTGTGTAGGTATAATGTTTTATTAAAGCGGCACCAAAAAGTTTCAGGAGGAACAAAACATATGGGCCAAAGAGAAGAGATATTACCAAAAATGACATGGCTATTTATCTATGTTATAATGTTTACCATTTAATATAAATTATGAAACCATTACGTAGTACTTACCGTAAGTGCTGCGCAACCATTATCGGCCTTCAAACACAGTTTCACGTTGCATTGATAGTAGACAGAAGCAGTGTACGGAAATTTATGTGCTTGAAAATGAACGGAAGCCTTCGTCTTATCTGATGAGTATTCAAACATTCCCATTATCTCATTATCAACAGGACATCCTTCACCGTTGATTAACCTTTGCTCACCCCATCCCAACCCATCACGGACAAGACAATCGGTGATACGCAAACCATACATATCTTGCTCGTCAATCGATATAACCAAAGTTAGCGGATCCCCAATTTTCACACTTTCCGCCACCTCCCTCTCGGTCGGGTCACCAGAAAATATCTTCATCGTACATCCCGGCATTGGTTCCATGGCCGTCGATTCGTCGGTCGACAACGGACTGCAATAAAAAAAAAAGTTAACCTCGAGACAACCACCGAAAGGTCATACTCAGCCTTTGGATCTTCATCGTTCACGACTGAAATATTGTTGCGCGTATTGTACTTGCATCGCACGTGGAAACCTCTTCCTTGATTCGTAACTAATTTCAAATGAGGTTGTACAACAATAGTGTTAAAATATTCAATGCCTCCATCATCCTGCAACAAAAAAAAAGGTTAGACAGTGTGAAGGTAACGGTCCACGGAGTGGACTTTGAGGTTTTTATACATGTACATCTTAGAGAAATTTGTGTATTTTACAATTTTTATTTAGCATAGATTTCACTTTATGATTATGTGTGGATATTATCACCTTTAAACCAACGAGGAGTTATTAATCGAGAAGAAAGTGAAACATCATCCTCGTTGTACCTTTGAATGTGGTAATAATTATTATACAAGCTGATTTTTAATCATCGTTTATTTCCAATGGGTGATGTCATCTAATATAATTAACTTCCTACAGTACTTCAAGGTGAGAAACTGTTTTGGGTTTGTAACCAGATACCTATATACGCAGTTATGGTAAATAATTCCTGGGAGAATAATACCGAGAGACAATTTCAATGGGTAATACCTTACCCGTATGGAAATGATCCTGATTACAGTTTCCATTGAAATCAATATAGTCAATATAGTTTAACAGTGCGAGCCCTCACATTCCAGTTCATTGCAAGTATTACATTTTCGGAACGGGACTGTTCTCCAATGCACGAACTATTCACAATGCACATGGAGTGGTCCTGCATATCCTGCAATATGACAAAGGAGAGGAGTGACACCCTGTATACAATACGTTTAAATGTGTTTTTTTACCACCCTCTACCCTCTACACCCGATGACCTGTACAATAAAAAAGTAAGCGGACGAAATGAAATTGCCCCAATAGTAACGCAATGGAGGGTCGAGGAGGAAGAAAGCCTTGGTGATCATAAGTATATATCCTTCAAGAGTAGATGACCCGTTACAAAAGATACGGGTGAGGGGCGGTGAGCGGTGCAAAAATTACATATAGAGAAGCCTACTCGGTACCAGAAACTCAGGCCGCACTTGATGTTGCCTTGAAGAAAATTACAAACACGACAATGACATAAACGAAAAATAAAAAAATTGCTATGGCTAGCACAAATACCGTATGCACGCGTATTTCTGCCCAAAATTCAGTTTTTCCTTTTACGTCAATTTGGTGTCCGCAGATCCCTAAATGCAAAAGGCAATAGCAAATGCGGACGTGTCAATAAGGGAGATACAAAACTAAACGGTGTAACAGCAATTCCAGTCACAAAAAAACAGTCACAGGAACAGGATTACCTCGTTCCACAATCACGGTAGACAGTGAAATCGAAACTTTAATGTGGATCGATAGGAGCATGAACTTTATATGCGATCCGTATGGACGACAGGTTGCAACGACGGATGCCTCTGGGAGTGGTGAAATTGATAATAAATGGCAGGTTATATCCAAATTTATAACAAGAAAGTGAGGTCAGAAAAGAGATAAATAAAGTGTGTAGGTGAAACGGAAGAATGCATTTGTACGATACCCCTGTTACCCATTTTCATTTAGAACAGATCGGAGAACGGTTTTAGTGGATGAAAGCCCTACATTCCTTCCTCCATGATTGTTTGATGGCACAGAGCGGGAGGGGTGCGCTGGATATTTCCCAAATTCCCAGAAAAACAAAAAAGAACTGTGCAAAATGTCCCATAATATTTGGGAACTATCTAGCTCTTTCTAAACATAGACTTTCATAGCGCTTTCATTTCATTTTTAGTTGATAAGCGATTCGGAAATACATCTACCCTCATTAAATGAATTCCTTTGTGAGACCATGACATTAGTGTAAACCCAAAATACCTATGACCTATCTATGACATAAATCACCAAACGTCTTAAATTTCTCATAGAAATATCATGAAAATAAAAGTTTTCAAAAATACCTACATTCTCATAGATAGGTATGTAATGTGTTAAAAGAAACTCGACTTGCATTAATCGAGGAAAGCTATTCTAAGATTCCAAAAAAACCTGCAATTGTTGAGCACATTTTTTCATTGAATTAGATATAAATCGTGACCGAAGGACACGACCTGGAAAGTTGGTAATAATAACATCGCTAATTATCAAACAGTAAAACACCTAAAGCTGAAAAGTAATTGTAACAGAACACATACCTAATCGCTATTTTCTCCTACTTTGAGGATTTAATAACAGCTGCGTGTTGTATTTGCTATAACAGTTACAACACACGGTTAATTGAAATTGGTTACATAACCATTGCAATTTTTGGGTAATTAGGTTACCATAAAAGAAGATATATGGAGCAGAAGTACGAATTCAACGTTTTGTAATGACCTTTATGGTCTTTGGCAAATATAAATATCACATGTAGGCTGTGAATTATGGAAGATCTCACTATTTCGAAATAGATCGCTCCTTCCATTTCAATCACAGAAATAAAAAAATCATTAATCCGGATTCGTGACGTAATAAAAGACAGTGACTCAAGCTCCCGCGAGTCCGTATTTGGGAAATAAACACTCCTTTCACGACATTTGTCGTCATTGAATTGCAATAAATGCCTTTGTAATTTTTAATGGCTACAAATTAGAGCAACTTTTCACTAAACTTATGCGGAACGCGAGGTCGTGCCTATTCGTTAATTTGTCGTATTAATTAGAGTTTTTTTAAAATTTTTTGGCAACACTAATGGCCAATACATACGTAAAGAGCTACACCACACTCTTCTCTTCCTATATTAGTTCAGTTTATTAGGTTTGAGATTACCTTCGGCACGCTAGCCTATCCGAAAAAAAAGTTCTTGGGTTTAGAAGCACATGAGTTCCCATTTTGGAATACAGCGCATTTCCATTTTCCAAAACATTCACAGAATTTCCCACATATTTTTAAGTTTCCTACGCATTTCTAAAAACTTTTCACAATGCACAATTCCCAGATTTCGACCACCACTCAGTTAGCACAGGCCTTTCGAAGTTGAAAGCTTGGTTTTGCACTATACCTCATAAGCCTAACAAAATAACTAAAAATCAAATCTGCTTTATTTTTTCCGATGTTTGATGGTCTTTCTTTTTCTTAAGTTCCATCCAGAAAAATGCCTACAACCTTTGGTACTTCATCCTGGTCACGTACGGACCTGTTATAAAGTATTCGTCTATGACTAAATCGGAAGTTGGAAAGGTAACTGCCGTTCATTCAATTATCCTTTATTCTTCCTCAAAAGAGCAGCAACGTTACGTTAAAAAGTATGTTGGGCACTACCGTTGAATATGAATATCTACCATTATATTTATGATTTCACCATTGTAATCCTAAGAAAAAATGCTTCAGATTTGGTAATTAAGTCGACAGCGCAGCTCAAACAAACAAGTTGTAAATCAGCATATGCATGATTAAAGCGCATTTTTGGTAATGCAGGTCAGTATTTTATTAGCGAAGTTTAAAATTATCGATGTCACGAGTAATTTTGGCTGCGTTAAATAATTAACTTTATTTAATTTCAATTGACGGTACGTCTTCATTTTGTAAAACAAATCACAAAGTAAATAATAAGTTTTTATACAGGTAGCGCTATCTAACGGTAAAATTATAGCACCTCCGAAACCCATATCGAAATTATTTTCTTCAATTATCGATCTTACAAGTAATCTAACTCAAAATAGACTAGTGCCTGCACATCTACACTATAGCAGAAAGCTTTTAGTGAAAATTTGAAGTCTCTAGCTATTGTAGTTGTGGAGATCTAACGCGGACAGCCGGCCTGCCAGCAATAACGAATATAATAGCGTATTTTTTTCAAAAATGCGCTAAAAATGAAACAAGATACTAAGAATCGCATACGATTTTCAGTAGAGGAATTTTTTCCACTCAGCTCGTATTCGGAAACCAGACTTTTGATCCGGCTCACATTCAATAGCACTGATTCTTGAACTCGTAGAAATCGACATACGGACAAAACCATCACATAACGGGAATTTTTTTTCTTTCGTAAACTCCCCCATAAAAAAGGTTTTCGCTTTAAGGCGAGTAACTGGAGGACTTTAGCGCATTTCTCATGAATTGAGTAGTACTTTCCGAAAAGTGGTATAACGGACTATTTATATGGAAGGAAAATAAGTTAAGGCTTAAGTATTTTTATAAATAAGACTTTTAGCATTGCATTGCGATATGTTTGTCTTTACTAGAAAGAGTTCTTGGTTAACATTTCAACAAAATATCTCTATAAATAAGAAAGTTTACATTGCGCATGCGCACGTATGGCTTTTATACTATACAATATGCTTGTCTTTACCAGAACCATCTGTGATTCAAAATATTTCTATAAATAAGGAAGTTGACATTTTTCAATCGGCGCTTGCGCACATTAATCGTCTTCGTCTAGATTTTTCTTGAGCCAGAACTATAAGCTACTGAATTCCAAAAGGACGAACTAAATATCTTGAAAACTGTAGGAGTAGTTACTAGTTAAGGCCTCTGACGAACGGACGGAAAAAGTGACCATAATAGCGCGTTGGAAAATGCACTAAAAAAATAGGGATATTGCCGATTTTTGTAGAAACACGGCATAAATAAAAAACGAAAATATCATCTATACTAAGAGGACAAGGTGTGGAGCTGCAAAAGAAGAGAATAACAAAGCTTCTTCGATTCTTGACCGTAAACGACCCTAATGCTTACTCTTGGATATTTTCTTTACAACAAAAAGTCCTCCAAATAAAGTTAGTTCAAGAAAGAAGCTTAAAATACATCGATTTGCATAAACATTGGGATTAAGCTCAACTTATCCTCCACTTCAAAATTTATAATATGTGGATGTGCGCTCTTCATTTTTATGGGAAACTACCCCTTTTCGCCAAAACCTATAAAACTAGGTATATGCATTAAAGCACTGAAACGTGAAACATTATTTCAGAATATTTCAACCCTTAAAAATCAACCCCTTTTGTGGTTTAATTTAAAAAAAATATTTACCCTAAAAAAATTAATAGTTTATCACAGCGTTTTAACTAAAAATGTTATTGCATAAAATATTACATTTTGTAACTTTTCACTTTAATACATAAAAATAGAAAAAAAAATACGTACAATTTAATACAATATGTTTATTCTTAATCATAGCTCCTGTATTTTTTATGATAGA